CACGGTAAAACTAAAAGCAGCGTTACTGAGTTTTTTTAACATCGCTGATAGTTCAGCAGTTTCCATCCGGTGAAAACGCTCCGAACAGTCAGCCGCTTGTGGCGATATGCTAATTACTCTACTCGGGTCTGCAGTCTTGGGTTCTGAATCTCATGTCTTTGCATGTATGATATCAATCCGAAGACTTTAGAGATTTTAAATGAAAAGCTTTAAATTGTTTTGCCAATGATTAGTAATTTGATGCTACTATAAGAAACTGACGCAAAATAACTTGGAGAGAAAACCTTATAGACATGAAGCTCACTTTGAATTAATTCAGATTTTCCAGATGGTAGCATATTTCTTGCCAGAAATACCAACATGTTATATCGTTTACGGTATTCGAGAACAAATGTACAAATGTAACATACTTATCCTTATTGATAGGTTATTTACTGATGTACTGCAGCTTATAATTCACATCTAATGTCATCGACTGCGATTTATACCTCGATGAATTTAACTTGTTTTTAGTAAGTGAGAAGCGCAAATTTTGTAATCGTCCAAATAATCTACATTAACTTTGGTCAATAAATTCAACGTGAATTTATGTGGAAACAGTTTAGAGGTCGTGAAATACTAAACTAAATGAATAAGGGTTTTAAATGTTGTATTAATGAGTATTTTAATTATAATCTGTTCTAGGGAGTGTCAAGTTATTGATCCTAGGGTTGCAGGTACGAGAGGGATAAATATGGACGTTGACTTAAGGGCGACATCACATGTCTTTGTTGATACGTATCTCAGTAAAAGAGAGATTAATTTAAATTACGTAACAATTCATGTTTAAATTTTCTTAGCTTTAATCAAAGTTGCTGAAACTTACCAATAAATATTTCATCTACTATATAAAATAAATCGAATCGATCATGTAAAAAAACGGGCTTGAAACTATTACGAACGGAAAGAAATAAAGGTAACGTAGCTCTACAAGGCAAAACGTTTTCGAATAATGAAACTCACTGCGAAAAGTATACTTCATTTCCTATCGTTTTTTTCCATCTCACTTTCTCTGACAAAACGGAAAAAGTCGTTTGTCAGAAATAGGTCGTACGAAATGCATAGGTCGTACGACATGCATAAACTACATGTACAGAGCTGAATTAAAAAGTCATAAATAGCATATTGTCAGCAAGTAAAAACTACAGGAAACATTGCTAGATCTAATAATAACCATTCAATGATTTGTAATTTAATTTCAAATAAAATACTTCCAATTCATTTTAATGGCCTTAAAATAACCGTAATTTTACACTCGATGTAGCATTTGCCGTCTAATGAATGCAGATCATGACTTGGCATCAACACTCGCTTGATGCAATCGTCTGTGAATAATATTACGGGTAAAAAGGCAGGATAGGAGCATTCTCGAAGATAGAATTATTCGAATTCAGCAAAAAAAATCACTAGAACATTTCTACAGCATCAAGGAATATTATATTGAAATGTAAATATTTCTATTCAATTATCCCATAATTCCTTGAAGTTATCAAGACAAAAAAACTTCTTGCAGATTTTTGGCCAGTCGCAATCATTTGTTAAGTTGATAAGTTCATACCCATGCATCTAAGCGTTATTTTCCTCAAACGTAATAGGTTCCGTTTAGAGTCCACTATTTCCTCAGGCAAATCAAAGACTTCTAAGCTTTTTAGTTCCTTTTGATTCATAAGCAAGAGGAAATTTTCATTCCAAAACGGATACGAGTTTCGGAAATTAGGCGCACAAATCACAAAAATTTATTACGCCGTTTAACCTTGGACAGAGCGCTAGTCAATGGTGGGAAGAGAATGCGGTGGTTTTTTCTTGATTTATAACTCTGCATTTCCTATTGCTCGAAGCAATGTTGCTTCAAATACTTTTTATAAATTAAAGTGCTACCGAACGCCAGAATATAAAATTTATTCGATTTCACGTAGATATTACACTAATATATGTATTCTAATATTTTCGAATCTACTACAAGGCTTAATTTTCATCTAGTTTCTCAGTGTAGGCATTTAAAATCAAATAAAAAATAGAACCGCTCATTAGCATACGAAGTTTACCTAAAAAAAGTAAGCGAGTGAAATATATAACAAAATGCACACATGCATCTCAGCACCTATAGTTTGAAAGAAATATCATCATTAATCATCAATGATCAATTTTTAAATTAATTTTTTATTTCAGCATTTTCCTTGACAATTCAAACGAAGCGGCCTTATAGGACCCGCACAACAGGAAAATGCCAGCCAGTACTCAGGATTTGCTAATAACATTGTCATCGTATATGATGAGTATTTACCCATCATCATGATGAGTATATGAGGAGTATTTATCCATCATCATGATGAGTATATGATGAGTATTTACCCATCATCATGATGAGTATATGATGAGTATTTACCCATCATCATGATGAGTATATGATGAGTATTTATCCATCATCATGATGAGTATATGATGAGTATTTACCCATCATCATGATGAGTATATGATTAGTATTTACCCATCATCATGATGAGTATATGATGAGTATTTACCCATCATCATGAGTATTTACCCATTATCATCACATGATGAGTATTTACCCATCGTGTATGTCCACTTCGGCAAATGCAATATACTTTACCAATTAACTAATGAAATTAGCAGTATTCGTATCTTTGAAAGAAAGTATTATATGCAAGAAAGTCGACGTCTATTAATCCGAGTGCTCTCAATCGGCACTCAGTTCATCATTGCGGCGAATCGGAGACTTGTTGAATGAATTTCAAATTCAATTCGATTTTGGTACCGCTCACTCAGAGTCCGTGGGCGTAAACAACAATTTTTATAGATCAGAAAACTCAATCCGATCACTAATGCGCGGGCGAGTTTAGAAGCACGTACACTGAAGATTTTTTCAGCACGTACCGAATGGAATATGAAAAACTGGGCAATAAGTGTCCGAACTCGAACTAGATAGTGGATGCGGATGCAGGTTTATTTTTAATGTTTCTTTTGAAGACAATTTTTTGAGAATTACTCGTAGAAATCTCAGGGAAAAAATTATAGGCATGCAATCTACAATTTTGTTATCCGCTTTATTCCTCGATCTTTTGGTCCTCAGCCATATACTGATGCTACGAGACGTGGGTAACCTGCATACTCGAATGTCATCAAAATTCCCGTCAGAGCCATCAATGATCGTCGAGGAATTCTGGAATTCACAAATAATGGGTGATTAATGTTGAGCTCTAACATGTAATTAGTATTTTTTATATTGCACGTAGCACGTAATTGTCCGAGTATAGTTAACCTCAGATAAAATTAATTATGAAAGACAAGAAGCATTTTGCTTAACGTCGATATAAAAAAGCAATTCAAATCTTCGAAAATACTGATTTAAAATCACAATTTCAACATATTCTTGTTGATTGAATGATATCCAAATGAATAAAGATAATTTTTAACATGCCTTGACAACTTGTTCGGAAACTTTTTCAATCTGATAAAGATAAAACTAAAAATATTCGAAAATAAATTGTAAGAAAAAATTTTGAATTATAACGAAAAATGTATTTGATTCAGTAAAATAATACCCTGCTCTGAAGTTTTCGAGAACTCATAGAAGAAGCAAAGGACAAAAAAAGTTTTTTTCAACTTCAACTCATAACTCATTATTTTTTTCGAAGGTCTCGGGATACTTTAGAACCGATTCTCTAGAGCGCCCGACGACGAGCTTCCAAAGAAATCGAACAAAAATATGAGACGCAGAAAAAAATGTCATCATAGATCAAGGCGCCGCAGATGAAACGTGAATTTGGATGATTGAGCGATGCATATCAGTAACATTAGCACATTAACACAGAAAACACTCCCATCATTCGCTAATTTATTTCATTGTATTTATTCATCAGTCACAATGTGGTGACAATTATCAGGCCGAGAACCTAAAACATCTTCTTTAAAGAATTCTAATTCCTAATTAATTAATTTGTTCGATTCATTTAACTCAATTCTAATTTAATTTTATTTTAAGTTAAATTTAATTCTAGTTTATTTTAATTTCATTTAATTTCATTTTCATTTCATTTAATTTCATTCAAGTTAATTTTAATCTAATTTTAATCTAATTTGTGTCTAATTTTAATTTAATTTCATTAATTTTAAGTATCCTTCCGTTTTAGTTGAATTCGAATTTAAATCTAATGCAATTTTAATTTAATTATAGTTCCGTTTTAATTCCAATTCAATTATAATTCAATTTTAATTCATAATTATTTAAAATAATCGAATTTAAATCTCAAATTTTAATTCAATTCTTAGATATAGTAAATTTGAGTTTAACTTGTTCATGTGTCCTTTCCCGCTAATAAAATAATTGTACGAAACTTCGATACTCGCAAACCTGCTCATGCACTCGAATTTTGGCAAAAAAAATCGGAATGAGTCATCGGAGAGAATGAAATCATCTTTCCCATGCATATTGGTCATTCGTTGAGCCCCCTTGACATGTGAACTAATAACTTGTCAACGTTGTAATTAAACATCACACCTAATGAGGATTTGGTGTCGACGAGCACCTATCACATAGCAATATGATGACCAAAAGTAAATAAGCAGGAGCTTCCACGTCAGTGATCTCAGTGTTTAATCAGATAAAATTTACAATTAGTACCATAATCAAATGAAATTTCCCGAATTTATTCCGAGAACGAGCGTCAAATTATGCAAATCTTTCGACCTGAATAATCGAGCATTTTCTGCTGATAACATTTTGCTTAGATCATCACACAATTACAAATTCAAAAATGGATTAAAATATCTGCGAACATTTAACGTAAGGCAATAATTAATGGTTTTGTGTACATACTAATAAATAACTGGAAATACATATAAAACACAATTCTGTGATTCATATTCTTCACGTGTCGGAAAAGCACTGTCAGGTTAAACTATGAACACAACACGTAATTACTTATGCATTCAGATTTTCAGAGTGGAAGCAATTAGTCCGTCAGTATGCATAGCTGTTGCATGAATTATGACGTTTTCTTGCATAATCTAACATAGTGAGTTATTTCAAATTAGTGGCGAATTAAAAACTAGAAATATTTCCGGAAGACGTCGAAAAGTGAAGTGAGCCTAACGGCTTGTTCTCTAAAGATAAGAGAATAACTGTAAAAAGGCTAGAGCTCTACATCAGCTGAAAAAGATGCTAAGCCACCTCAAGAATTCTCCGACGGTGGCGGTGGGAATAACAATCGTCGCAGCACTTCTAGTCTCCGTGAGTTCTATGTGTTCTGGAAATACGTAGATTATATGGAGTTAGGAGAAATATTTGCATAGGCGAAGCTGACGAAATTTCACGGTAAAGATAACATGGCAAATTGTAAAATTTATGACGCCCATGTGCACATCACTTCTAAAAAATTCAACTATAGGGTATGCTGAAAAATTAAAAACAATATGCAGCGACCTATTTTGACTAAATTGCTAATTTTTTTGACTACATGACCATTTTACGGTAAATATTCAACGGTGCTTTTCACCGTTTCTAGTAACATTCCTTTCATTGCCCCCGTCCAATACACTGATAGAGACTTGTTTCCAAACAGGCTTCTCATGGGCAAGAATGTGACTGCAAATTGACTGAATACAAGACCTGTAACAAAGCAATCGATATGGCCGTATTGATGCAAAACTCAACGGCAATTCAGGCTCTCCCAGTAATTTACCTGGCCAAGAAGGACCTGGAAGAGCAGGGCCTAAGAGGTCCTCTTCAGGACTGGAGCATCCGAATCAAATACAGAGATACTAAAGGATCTAACGTGGACGCAGCCCTCGAAGCTTTCCGACTGCATCACGAAGGTAAGTTTCTATACCAAAGCGTTATAGAGCGTTATCACAGGAAGGTATTTTAGAGTATTTAGTGAGGAAAAATTGGATCCACTGTAAATGAAAATTAACTTTTTGATATTTGAAATCACTGACACAGCGACAGTATTACCTGTTCTAAGAAATTCATAAGCAGGAAGTGGTTGATACGCTGAGCAACTGTTTTCAAATGAAAGGTAATTTTATTTATTGGCTCTTTTTATCCAAGCATAAATTTCTCAGAAACACAAAATTTCAACTTGAGAAAACATTTTTTTTATATATTTACGTCTCCTAATCAATATCAACTGCCCACATTGGAATCGTAAGCCCACATTGGACTGTATTTTCTACCTTAATTGGCCATCATTAGGGCAGCAGCCATTACCAAGTACAGGTAGTAAACGGTCAGTTCTCTGAACTTGCAGCCACGGAGAGGTGCCAGCGAGCAGTGGCGCAGGCCCCTGCGGCGGACTGCGGGGAAGAGGAGCTCTCCCAACTCGGTGAGATAAATCATATTTGTGCTACGTCTCGATTTTGAAGTAAATAAACAAATAATTTGCAAATATTCCCTCAGATTTGTAAGGAAACAATCCATGAAATGTGTGCAGCGAAATCTGTAGGATGTTCATGATATAGAATAATACCTGAATAATATTTCTGCCGAACAAACAGACGTTTTCTTGGGTCCGGTCGAATCATACTCGATGGTGGTCGTAACACGCCATTCTACTCGCTGGAAGACGCCAGTACTCAGCCCCGCTGGTAAAATCAAGAGCTTTGACGACGAAAAGTACCAGTCACTCTACAAGATACACGGACAAAATTCCCAGGTAGTTAAACATGGAACACATAATCTTATTACGTAACATGATGAAATCGCGGGAAGGTTATATTTCAAAATTTCAAGAACGACACAAATTTGTAGCTGAATTATGGGCAATTAATCGTCGTAAAGATTTAGAATCTAAAAATTTTGAATATTAGTAGAGATATATAAGTGTTTGACATCGAACTAGCAGCTGATGGTAGATCAATGTCTTGGAACCTCAAATATTGAACCTCATGCAAAAAAAAACATCAAACAGAGGTAAAATGATTTTTATTCAGTTATCAACATGAATATTCTTCAGTTGGCGTCAAGCATACGGAAAATGTGGGCGGAATGGGGTTGGAACGTCACATACTTGTTGTTCGAAGATTATGGAGGGGACTCTGTGAAAGGGAGAACAGCTTGTTTCTTCGGAATGGATTCGATCTACAAGAAGCTGTTGGCATATAACTACACAGTTCATCACATTATCGTCCCAAAAGATGATCATTACGATCCAGAAAAAGTTATTAGCACCATCGGAGAACAAGCCAGAAGTGAGTTTTTTTAGTTAGCCATTAAATTTCGATGAAATTAAAATTTTATGAATTGACTCCGCGAATCGATGCTGATTGCATATCACTCTCAGATAGGTAAAATCATCAGTAATCGTTCATGATTCACTGGAGCTAAAAAATATAAAAGTACGGTTCTAGTTTTATAAGCTGAATATTAGACACTTTATAATTAACAATACATGTATAAAAAGAAGGCGAATTGGTATTCTTTGGTATTGGTATTCTTTGGTATTGGTATTTAACGAATTGTTTTAAGTTCCTTTGTAATGTCCAAAACGTGGTTTAAAAATAAGATCCATAATTGTAATTTGTTTTTCAGTTGTGTTGATGTGTTTCGAAAATCGATCACGTTTAATAGACACCATGAGGGCGGCAAGAAATCCAAGATACGCTTCTAAGGAGGACTACGTTTTCATCAACGTCGACATAAAAACCGAGTAAGAACGAAAAAACCGTCGTTTTTTAATAAACAACAAAAAATTTAAGCAAACTAATGGAACCGTAAAACCAGTGAAATGACTTGGATTAGTAATGAGATGCCCGCACAATGCCTTAATCACCTTATAAATCAAAAGTCATAGTTGCACGGCGATTCAGTGCTTCATGTAAAAGATTTATCAATCATCCATACGAGAGAGACTCAGTAGCGATAAACCTTTTACAGACTGCAGCTTGAAGCACAGAATTGAAGATAACTTTCACTAAAATATACGCAATTTTGCATACAAGGACAAATTTTTGGCTTTCGTGTGAACTTTGCGAAGAGTAAGGTTGACGCATTATTAAAATGGAGACATATTATCAATAAATAACTACCAATTTTGTACAACCTCAAACTCACATAAATATTTTGCTTTCTTCATAGATCTGAAGAAGACTACTGGCCGTGGTTGGAACTTGATTCAACAATTGCTGAAGCATTCGAACCAATGTTTGTGGTCACTCCTAGAACACCAGCAACTGATGATTATAGAAATTTCACCAAAAGAGTAAGATTATTCTATTTGACAAGATTCCATTCTCTTTATAAAATCTCAGAACGAAAACAACTGAATTGTCAGAGATACATATATGAAAAGAGTCGTTCCATTTTATGGAAACTTGTTTTCTCAATGCAAATAATTTTTAGGTCATATTATGAAAAAAACTAAAAATTATGCATAACGTTCTCATTACGAGTGAAGAGAAATTATTACAATTGCAATTATATTTGTTCAGGTAAGAACGTTAGCTTCTGACCCGGATCAAAAGGACCTACGCGACCATCTTCAAAACATCACCGCAAATAGCGAAGCTCCCGCAAGTTTGAATTCAAGCACTCTGGTCTCTCCATTCATAGCGAGTTTTTATGAAGGGGTTTGGTTCTTTGTCGAAGCATTCAACAGGACCCTCGAGTTGAAGCGATCCAATCCGAATATTTCAGTGAAAACTGAAATATTCAATCAAATGAATACCGGCACCTTTTACAGTGAGTGGATGAATTTTGTAGTGTAGTCGTTTTGTATTTCGAATTTGTTGCCACATTGTTTGAATAAATTGACATATTAAAAAATACAAAAAGAAGATTCGTATTGGATAATCTCCTGTTGCATCAAAGATGCGCTTGGAATGCTAAGATTCATGACAAACCCTAACGTGAATCATTTCCTAAGTGCGATATATTATCATTGTCAGGTCACCTCAAGAAAAGAAATTACACTCTGACGGATAGAACCATACCTGACGAATACTCGGTTCTGAACTGGCAAAACATTTCTGGGAAAAAATTATTCCAGGTAAGATGACCTAAAAACGTCTTACCTATTGCAATCCATTGATTTCATAATTTTCGCGCCTGGCAGCTTCAGAAAAGGAGCCGCAATACGCTCGAATAGCGCGTGCGTACATTAATTTAAAACACGCTAACACGTGTCTTGAGCATTAATTTCATTTGTTAACAATTTTGAAAATAAGTTCGTGTACCTAGATATCAGTGATCTTACGCAAGTGTACATAATAGTAACAATTTTGCATTGACTCGAATACGAAATTTCGTGCCTTTGTTATACTCAACGTGTTCAAAAGTATCGATCTAGTTAAGCTTCATCTTCAAATACCTTCTAATTTGAAGATGAAGCTTAACAGGATCGATACTTCTCTATAGCAGGTGAACACAACCAATATATTCAACATTATTGCGCAATATTGCTTGCATAATATTTTATTTTGCAAAAATAAGCGTATCGTCGGGCAAACGGTGATGCACAAACAAATGCTCAGGCGTAGAGCCACATTGCATATGCAAGCAGTCATTGTTAAATTTCAATGATGAAAACTTACTAGGAGGGAGTGAACAGTGTGGCGCAATAGTTGCCGAGGATACATTTTATTTCTTGAATATACGTCTATTTGCTCTCAAAATTTTGATTACTTATCGTGTCTTGTTCCGCATCCAGGCATTTTTCGTGATACTCTTCTAACAATGCATATAGGACAGCTCCCTTTTTTCCAAAATCCTGCACCCTAGTCTTTGCAATACAAATCCTCCACTGACACAAGACTACGATTCACCTCAATTGATTAAGCATATAACTTCTCTACTCGTTAAAGCCGTGACATTAACACGTTGTTGAGACGACTAGCTAAACAGAAGATAATACCAAAAGGCAAAAGATTGTGCTATTCTGACAATCCAAATTTAGATAGTAGAAAAGTCATTATTAGGAAAATTTTTGCTAAACACAAATGACGATTTCGAATTTCTTCAGGAAGTGGTCGTAATGGAGGGTACATCTGAAAGTACAGAAGAATGGAAATCTAATAATGCCACCATATATTGGTATGGCAAGAATTATACATGGGAGCAGTGGAGAACATCCCGACCAACAGACTCCCCGGAATGTGGATTCAAAGAAGAATTATGTGAGTTCAAAAAACAAAAGAGCGAACTGAACTCATCACGAGCGCTTACAATTAAGACTAAACTATCACGACAAACATTCTCGCTAAGAGTGGTCCTAATTGTTTAAATTTATTATTTAAGTAATTGATAAGCTATTATACATCTTCAAATATTCGAGATAATACTGATTTTTTTGATGAGCTCAGTTTTATTATAGACATCATAATGATCTTTTGTTTTGGAATGAAATACCTAAAAACTTTTTCCATAAACAGGCAAGACAGATCCTGTTTTGAATCTCGTGGTGGGCCTCTCAATAGTTGTCATCATACTACTATTCGTTGTAGCCGTGGGCGTAAGGTGAGTATTACTACCTCAGTCCAATTTACTTTGTTTTAATAACTTATCAGGCCAACCATACTTATGCAATTACTGTGTTTCAATGTTACTAAATATTACTAAACTAAAACTCATTACCAACATGATTAGAACAAAAAAATTCCAATTGTCGGTAATACTTTGCGGCTGACACAACATGATCTTACAGACATAGAATAGAAGCACGTGTGGAGGAGTAGAGTGAGATGGGTTGTGTTTCAAAAGAAATAAAAAAAACGTTTTTAATGAACATTCATAGTAGATATCAAAACCTCACTTTGATCGTCGAAATATTTAAACTGACGGACAATACAGTAAAGTCTTCTCGAAGAAAAATGCTCAAGTTCAGGGACCGCCTAACTTAGAAATTCATGACAGAATCAATGCGCATCTGTAATGGCGGTGTGTCTGTTCCAGGCGATGGTTGAAGCTGAGGTCTAAGGTCGAAGTCATGTATCACTTCAGAACTTGTCAAGAAGACTTAGTTCAAGTGGAGTCAAATTTTGCAGCCTCTACCTCAACCCTTCTCCCTTATTCCTCCACTACAGCTCATTAAGATTCACCCCCCAGAAGCCCAAACTATACTTTTACACGAATAACTTCTAAAATATATCAATATTACGACTTAATAATTTAGCAGCATTTCGTTAAATTTAACACAAAATTAGCCAAAAAAATTTTTTGAATACAGGTAGATATACCGAAATACCACGGCAAGCATCAATAAACCAAAATTCAATGGTGAAATCGAGTTGCAAAAACTGTAAACATTAAATTTTGCGGATCGAAAATTTTCAAATTTTTTATCAAAATTACGGTCGAGCAAATTTCAACAGTGTTCAAGTTGTCTAATTACTAGTTCGGTAAGATTAGACGTGTTCATTTCATTTGCATCGCTATACGAAGTGACAGGTATTCCAAACGAAAGTGATATTTCAGTGACATTTGTTACATTTGTTCACGATTTTTGGACTTCTTAAAGATTCTGATGGCCAATTTCAGTAAAAGCCTTCCAAATTAAATTAATTTTTCTCTCGAAAAATCAATGCAAATATATATCCAAGGATTTTTCCTTAATATTGTAAAATGTACAGTTAAAAATTAATATAATTGATACCCAAACATAATTAGTGCAAAAAAAAAGTTCAAATAAGAATGTTCAGTTGAAATGCCGCTCACTTTGAAGTAGTTCAAGTTAAAATGTAAGAGCTGATCATTGATATGAGATAATAATGAAGGGCCATACAATGAGATCGATGAGATCAGATAAAAACTAATTTTATAAACAATTCCTTGAAAAATGCTGTGACAAAATTATACATATACGTATGTTAACAAAATTTGACGTTACTATTTTATTATTCGGAAAATAAAAGTCATGTTCATTCCCAAACATCAAATAACCAGGAATGAATGTTTAGTCCGATTCAAATCACTATACGCCATCTACAATTATCGATTAATGAATCACTTCTAACTGCAAAGAGGCAAACGCACTAAATCAGCCAAACGTGCAAAAATTTTTATTTAGGATAATTTCATAAAAACTTTTAGGTTAAACTCCCTCAAGTTTAAAAGACTTCTGACATTCTATTCGAAATGTTTAAAAATCAAGTGCAGCAAATAATTTAAAAACATTCAATTAAATATTTATCGGAATCTTTACCAAGAAAGTCATGCACAGGAAATACCTCAAAGAGAAGAGTATAGCAGAGATGTCGTGGAAAGTTTCCTACGACGAAATAATCTTCAAGTATCCCACTCCGCAAGAAAATCAAAAACGCACGCAAGGACTGTTCGAATCAAGAATTTCTTGCGAAACCTCGAGCTACACGAGTCAAGAGGTAAGCGTTTGAAAAATTTTGACGCAAGAGACCGAATAATCTTGGTTCGACGATTCATTCTTATCCGAAAAAATAATGATTATAATTCGAAATTTAAGAATAACATTCAAAACATTGTCTGCATACATAATATTCAGATAAATCTGTTCGCATAAATTTGTTATTTACCAGTAAATTGCTTCTCGTATTTTCTCCCTTCTCACACAGACGTTTCTGAGCGGCAGTTTGCAAAATCCAGAGATATACACGACGCTCGCTTATTTCAAGGTGAGTAATTGCTTAGAATGAAGCCATTCAAGTGGTCTTCATTGGTCTGACGAATAACTAAAATAAATAGGGCTTTACACATGAATATGATAAACTGTATTGAAAAACAAAAGCATGTGCTGCCAGTTTAATAGAAAAAAATAGCAAAGAGTACAACTAGTTTTTGAAGAGTAACCATAAATTTTAGAGTTCTGATCAAATATTTGTGTAAGATTTAACGCAAAAATCCCAATGAAATTACAAAAATACTAAACGTTTCTTATACTAACAATACTAAACGTTTCCGTAGGGGCAACGGGTTGCGGTCAAACGTTTAACTCCTGAGCCAGTCAATCTGACCAGGGGACCTCTTCTGGAACTAAAAGCGGTAACCCAACATTTGTTCGTTTGTGCGGTGTAGTTCTTTTTGCATATTTTTATTCACATCATATCCAAAATTCAAATTCTGATGCACTTAAAATGTATAAAATTAATCAATTAATTGTGCTGAGAAGTCCCCGTGTAAGAGGAATTGAGTGTAGAATTTTTACGGTGAATGAGAAGTAAGTTCAAGGAAAAGGGAATAGACTGCAGAACTTTCAAGGTGAATGGACACTGGGTGAAGGAAAGAGAATCAAGTGTGGAACTATAGCAATTTTTTTCATTTTTTGCTGTACTCACATCACAATTCGCTACCACAGCGCTACCACGTCAACAGCTTCGGTACGATAGGACAATTCTCACTTTGCAGCTAATATTAAGAGTACACGTGTATTACAAATCCTTTGATTGCCTGCGCTCAAAATTGACTAAGAACTAATATCAAGGTAAATGTCATGAGAATTCACTATAATGAACACCACTTTATTGTTGCAACGATGCTGTTTTTGCTGCTACAATACAATTCGTCAAAAATCAAAAATACACTCCCAGGATAATTGGGTACAAAAAACGCGAACAACAGCGGAATAAATATTATTATTGCTATAGTTATGTATCATACAAAAGATATACAAACAGAATCTGTGTTCTGATGAAATTCGGACTCACACATCAATGAATTAACGAAACTCCATCTACTCTTTCCCTCAAAACAAAAATGCGTCAAAGATTTGAAAAATTATGGCACTTGCAACACATAGCCATGGACCGTACCGCATATAGTTGAGAGTCAAAGCTCATCTCTCGACCTCTTCTGTAAATATAATACCTCTTATTGGAAATACACTTACACGTCAGCGTCTGAGTTTGGCCCCTCGTCGAGCGATACACCTAGCGCAGTGACACCCAGTGTTCGCGGTCTTCTTTTCTTTATAGATTGGTTATTCACATCATCTATTCATAATAAAAATCATATGCACTTCCACTCACTTTTCAAACGTATCTCAAAAATTCTATCAGATGAAAGAACTGGTGTGCAGCAACATCGCGAGCGTGCTGGGAGCTTGTTTCGAGGCGCCCAACAATTGTCTTATAACCGAGTATTGCCCCCGAGGGTCACTGCAGAATGTACTCAACAAGGAAAAATTGAAACTCGACAATATGATGAAATATTCAATGCTCCACGACTTAATTAAAGTGAGTACCAATATAACTGCTGCCAATCGTATAGATGTGAAAACCGCTTCCTCTGCACAATTTTCACTGACAGTATAAATTAAAGGCAATTTTACACGATTCTTCCTAGTTGAATAACAAACTGGATTGATTTCAAAACATGGGAAATTTCCTCAATCTTTCAGGGATTATCGCGACTTCACTCGAGTGAGATAAAAATCCATGGTAACTTAAAATCTTCCAATTGCGTCGTGAATTCAAGATTCGTTGTCAAGGTAACAGACTTCGGAATCCTCTCCCTCCGATACAGAGATGAGGATCCAGTTGAGGCAGCAGAAACACAAAAGATATACGAAGGTGATTTTTTAAGAATGAAAAATAATGAAATTTGCAATATGGAATTCTGTTATCATTGATGAAAAATATACTTCAGTGATGAATACTCAGGTCACTTATCTCATTGATTTATAAGGTTAGAAATTTTTTCAACAGGGAAACTGTGGAGTGCTCCTGAGATGCTTCGGAAGGGGTTTAAGAATTTATCCACTGATCAGATACAAAAAGCTGATATTTATTCCCTCGGAATAATTATCAATGAGATATTCACAAGAAGAGGCACATTCCCACTTTCCGAAGAAGAAGATGAATACCACTCGGCTGCAGGTGAGTTTTATCACGACCTAACTAGTTTGATGCGAGTAAAATAATCCCGTTTTATTTGGTATATGAAATGATCTCAATTTTTTGTCTGATTGGCTACTTCAATGTTTAATAAATTTATAACCTGACACAGCAGAGATTCTAAAATAAAAATTTTGAAATCTGATAACCGAAGTCTCCTAATTAGTGAAATTTTTTGACGAATTCATAACGTTAAAAAGATATCATACCGATCTTTTCAGAAATTGTGGCTAAAGTGAAGGAAGGCACTAAACCGCCTCTTCGTCCAATGATCGGAAATGACGTGGTAGAAGACATGAAAGAACTCATGCAGAGATGCTGGGAGGAGCTGCCACAAAATCGACTTCCTCTACAAAGCATCAAACATGTCGTTGCAAATCAGAATAAGTAAGTGTTCACAGGATAATTTTATACTTTGATTGAAAGCATACCAGGAAAATTCGTGTAAATACATGAAAATCGAACGAATCACTGACACATGATACTTACTATTCCTAGCTATCGCGCACTAGGCTTTTCGAAGGAAATTAGTCAATTCAATTTGACAGAAAAAGTAGAAAGTGTAAAATTTTACACGTTCGAGATGACTCAAGGTTAGAATAAAATTTGTACAGCTCAAATTGTGTTGACGAAATGATGACAACGAGGAAAACTGAAACAATGTTGTGGTATAGGAGGGTTTGAATGACATTATCTTGTTTATAACGGAATTAGTGCATGCAGTAGGGTGTCGATAACTTTTGTAACGAGGACATGCAGGTCTTATTTAAATGTAATTTACATTCCAGGCAGAACGAATCCGGAAATTTTATGGACAACCTCTTGCAACGAATGGAACATTATTCAAATAATCTAGAAACTCAAGTTAGAGAACGAACAAAAGACTATCTTGAGGAAAAGAAAAAGTGCGAAGATTTGCTCTATCAACTTCTTCCAAAGTGAGTGAACCTAATCTTTGAAATATTATCAGCCACAATACATTAAATTACATAAGATCTGAGATCTTTCAGTTTCTTTGAATTTCAATGTTGCTCTGCCTCAATGAATGCATGGAGACATTGAGCGGCATCCCATCTAACTTTAGTCAACAGTCGTTAAGTGACATCTATCTCGTACTCTATCACACCAACAAGATCTCGACGGTAGGGAAACATAATGGGAGGTTGTTAGGTAGTCAAATCCGAGTCAAATGGGAGTTGTTGGGAGTCAAAATGATATTCGGTCATCAGCTCTCTGTCACTAAACTGTAAACAAAGGAAGATTAACTCTCCTCTAGGAGTCACATCCAAAGAGATATATTGCCGTTGTTCGCATCATAAGACAGCTGCAACCGTTAGTCATGGGGATCGACACGCCTAGTTTAAATTTTTCCATTCTTTGCTAAATTTTGTTTGAAATATCGATTGCAAAGGAGCTGGTTGAGAAATTACTGGTGCAATGATCAACCAATTATTAATACTGCAACAAGTTGAAGTTGAATTTTTTCTCTCCAATGATTGTTAATGAATGGATAGATTATCAATGCGAAATTTAGACGGTTTTCGCAGTTTACGAGAGGAGTTACCGCGAACCAACATGACATAGTTGGTTTTCGATTGTGATAGGATGCAAAAAAAAAACAAGACAGCCAATCAGGAAGCTTACTCTAATGCAGCCGAGTCATTCTGGCTCCATAAGCCCTCAAATTGGCTGGGTTGGCTCCTGTGATATCTTTCTAGTATTTAATTTGCATAAACCACTTGGTAATTTAAGAAACGTCTGCATCTTTTCGGTATTCTAGCTATTCTATTTAAATAGGCTTACATAACAGTTAGGCTGATTTTTGTTGTTTTTGTATTCAAACAACAGTAATTTCAAAGTAAAATTGAGCACATTGCTCAATGTTCCCGAAGTGATCGACCTAGTTTTTGTTGTACAGCTCAAATTGTGTTGGCGAAATGATGACAACGAGGAAAACCGGAATTTATTTTACTAAATATTCTCAAATGATCGAGCAGCCAGGCATTCCAAAAACAGCCTCCTTGCCGTAGCCTCGTAGTATTTATCGTAGGTAATTTGTGTTTTAACTCTAGTTAAAACAAGTATTTAATCCAAACGCAGCGTGCCATTTCCAACGGCAAACGAACGCTGGTGTCCTACAACGTAAGGGCGGCCATGAATCTCTTTTGAGGTGACCAAGAGATGGTTGTTCATCCCTCGTCGTTTACATAAGCGTAATGGACGTTGATAGCCGAATAACATATTGGCCCAGGCCGATCACCGATCATTAATCGGCTACCTAACTACCACCCGTTGCATTTAACAAAGGTGTCAAGAGATTTGGTTGGAGAGGATACGTGTTCGAGGGTAGAAGCCGCCTGAACTGAGGTGTGAGTTCGGTCACACTATATACCTCATAAGCCGCTTACAGATAGCAGAGCTAGTTGAAGAGGACTCAAAGGCTGAAGAAAACGATGAAGTAACTTTCATTCATTTCATTTTGTTCAATTTTTAACTTGATCTCAACCCAGGTCAGTGACGCAGAAGCTTATCTCTGGTCTTCCTGTGGTAGCCGAAGCATTCGATAACGTAACTATTTACTTCAGTGACATCGTGGGCTTCACCTCCCTCTCAGCAGAATCTTCGCCGATGCAGGCAAGTACACCGTGAAGATAAGTGAACCTAATATGTATTTACATCATGAAAAGGGAAAAAACTGATTACAGTGTAATAAGCATGCTTTTTAGTATCTTCGAATGTCAATGTTACTCTGCCTCAACGAATGCATGGAGACATTGAGCGGCATCCTATCTAACTATAGTCAACAGTTTTTAAGTGACATCTAGGTGTCTTTACCCTTTAATGCACTGCAAATCAAAAGCTGTCAATCCACAAAAGTTTACGCAGTTTCACGTTTTGTTTCATACAATCATAGACAGCACATAAAAACTTCGCTTAAATTCTGGAAAGAACATTTACGCCAGAATAAAAAGAACGAAAGGTACAAATTATCAGGCTGAACAATAATGAACATTCTTTATATTCCGTTCCGAATCATCAGTCCTATTCATTGATTCGTTAAAGAGTTTGTCAGCACTCATGTGGACAATGCATTACAGATCGTGGATATGCTCAACGCTCTCTACTCTCTCTTCGACAAAAGGATCATGGAATTTGAAGTCTACAAGGTAAGTTACTGAATCCTCAAATCACAGACAAAAGGGTTACGGTTTTTGATCCGTTATCGTGGTAACCAGTAGTAATCAAAGCTCCGATTATCGGGCTATAGATAAATCATAACGCCTATATATATGCTTCTTCTGAGATATATATATATATGCTTCTGACGCATATCTCAGAGGATATGCGTCAGAAGCTTGACAGTTAAGGAAGTGCTTTTAAGCAGCTACTCGCTGCTGGCTAGTAACTAAACAGCCAATACCCTTCTACACGAAGCGACTATACCAATAATTGGTGCCGGTTACCGCTCGACACATGCACATAATAGCTGCTAGAACTTGACCTGTATACAGGCACCAAATCGCTCTGCATTCTTCGCGACTTTTCAACTGCTAGGGGAAGAAAAATCGCCAGGCGGCGCATAAATCCTTCAATTGAAATGTATCGGGATCGATGATAACGAAAATCCAAATCATTGAAATTACTTGGTTTGAAAGTTGAGTAATCAAGAAAAGTAACAATTACTATGCAAACATTAGCAAAATTTATTACTTGATGTAAAGAAGCCAATTAAAGCCGATACTAAATTCATCAGCACTATTATACTCAGTTCTCTGTTCAGGTTGAGACCATCGGGGACGCCTACATGGTGGTGTCTGGCTTGCCGACGCCAAACGGAACGCGTCACGTCAAAGAAATTTCAAGAATGGCTTTGGCGCTACTGAACGCCGTGACAACTTTCCGGTGAGTGCTGAATTGTGGAGGCAGAGCCGCAGAGGTAATATTTGACATAAATTTAAAGCTAGTCCCTTACGAGCATCATGAGCCTTTAATGTTCAAAAGTTACAAGCAACCATGAATAAACTCTTGGTCTAAAGAAAATGCTCAATAATTTCTGAACAAGAATGACCTATGTGGTCACACTAACAGAGCTTCATAATTAAGGCATGGAACAGATAGATAGAACATTGAGAATTAAAGAAAACGCATGTCTTGTTTTTTCTACCAAATTTAGATCAGATCTTTGGAAATGCAAATTCATACGAATCTCCAAACTTACAAAATACTCAACTTTTAAACATGTGGGTTTCATCGCCATTCAAACACTCTGTACCCATCAAAGTATAAACTTCATGAATAAATTATGATTTAACAAATTATTTGATTCGCCGGGAATGCACATTACATTTATATCATTGGTTTACTGCAGAATACCCCACCGGCCCGAGAAGCAGCTGCAGCTGCGGATAGGGGTGCACTCGGGCCCGTGCGTGGCCGGGGTGGTGGGGCAAAAAATGCCGCGCTATTGTCTCTTCGGCGACACTGTCAACACCGCATCCAGGATGGAAAGCTATGGCCAACGTGAGTTAAAAAATCCATCAAAACGAGACTTGATACTGAATGGCGATCGTAAATGTTGATCATTTGATTAGTTAAAAGAGCATACGTTCAACATTTCAGGACATTATATATTCGAGTGTTTCGAATACGAAAGCCTAACGTCCGGACAATTTCAATTTTTGCTTATTGCATCATTTTATGCTTCAGCGATGAAGATTCACATTTCGAGCAGCACGCAGGAGCTGCTCAAGCAACACTACCCACAGTTCCGCCTCGAGTTGAGGGGACCTGTTGAAATGAAGGTGAGGCTTGAGATGCTTGGCTTTATTTTCAATCGAGGCGTGAGTCGAGAATCAATATCTAGCCACTTAAATTCTTCATCCATTTGATTTTGAACTTTTAAATTCAATTGACAATAGTTCATAAATCATTTGTTTCTTGACATTTTATTATATCAATTGTGAAATCGACTGATTGTTTTGAGTTCCATCCAATGCAGGGCACAATACAATACAATGTACAATAACATTTTCTAAAATTTCATTATTACAAAAAAAATACGCAAAATCTACGTTCCCAGACGCATGTTCCTCGCAAGAAATTCATGTTTTCATACAACAGGGTAAAGGTGTAGTGACGACCTACTGGCTAAACGGCGAAGAAACGCCAGCAACATCGACGGATGCTGAGAAAAGCAAGTTCCTGATAACGGACAGAATGAGACCGAGCTTGAGCCACAACGCGATCGGCGGTCACGAGCAAGCAACAAGACTGCACTCCAATGTGGAGACAGGGTCAGGCAGCGAAGAGCTCGACATGCAAACTTGGCACGACTATTCTGCTCCAGTTACTCCTCATCTTGCAACGCGACAACAAACCAACAGTCGCAGTAATAACGCATCAAGGAGTGACCTCAAGGTTATTCTGTCCCTCGACAGTGATTGTCACATTCCTCTGTTGACAAACAACAAGGAAAACTCTTCCGTGTAGATTAAGAGATTGCATTCTTGGACGCATATATTTACTCGCAGAGAATTAGCCGTATTAATTGATGTATTTTCTGCAGAATTAAGGAATTAAGCCAAAATATGGGTATAGTTACGACTATATATATATATACTGGTGCCAACTTATTTCAAGAGCTGTGAATGTATATCCATGATCATTAGTAATAAACCCTTCTATAGCACAGGTGCTCCTACATTGCACCCTACGTCGTCGTCATTCTAAAGTTGTAAAAACTATTGTAAATTTCTCCAGAACATTCTTTATTTCTAGAAAAGAACTATAAATTATAATTACATTTAATACATTCATGAGTTCAGCATTATTTACTTCAAATCCTTTACGCTGAATTTTTACTTCGAATTCTTAATTAGTAGAGTATAGTCTTCATGTACATGAATACTAAATAAATAAATTAATTTTACTAAAAAAACTCTTCAAAGTTATCTAGCTGTCACACATGCATATAATCTTCGTCCATACCTGCCATACGAAGCATATTGTAGGAATTTGAGAACGAATCTAATGTTATCTAGTTAATTAATTACCGTAAAAATATTTTCCTGTATTTTAGAATATTACCCAAGAGAATAATTTAATTAAGACAGCAAATATATTTTAAGTTATATATAAATTTAAGTAGCATTAACCATCGGGATCAAAGCAAGTGCGGCTACATTTTAAAGGTGAAACAGAATGTAATATAAGAAACAGAATGACTTTCGGATGTTACACGACCTAAGTTCTTCGTATAAAGAGTATGGTTAGCACTATAATCATGAGATAAATACTGCATAAGTGCTTTTGAATACAACATACAAACCAAAACATAGAAAAAAGTAACGGATAGATTATAGCTTTCAAAACGAAGAAATAAGCAAGCCACATGTTTATAATCGGGTTACGGTCTTCAGCTGCATCTTACAGTTTAACATCTCCGAATTTGTGCGCGATCTTATGAATGAATGAATGAATGAATGTCATCGTGCATATATTGATATTCTGTGACATGTAAATAAGTCGTGTGGTATTCACTGGTACCTGTAACTACCTCTAGAATTAGAAAATCTATAATCAAACAATAGGTATACATATTATTATTTGCTCTCGGAATTACAAAAGAGAATAATCGAATTGATACGATTGGTTTCGATTTTGGCAAGAATTTATTTTTATAATTTCGAATTTGTTTGCTAATAAGTATTGTTTACACACGTGCGACCGATGACCAGAGAATTCGTTGGTTTATATTATTCGTTGGTTATATATAATAAGTATTGATAGAGGATTCGTGTGTTCTTCGCTTGAAATATATATATATATATATACTTAATACAGTTCTGTAAATTACTTTCCTACGATAAAAGATTTGCATTAGGATTTAAAGTCCAAACATTAAGTTAACGAAACAATATCAGTGAATCGTTTAAACAAGTGCCAGTAATAATTTCGCAAACATAACAAACACAATACGCTGGCAGACTGCCGATACAGATGATCGGAGAGGCCGAAGAGAAAATTATTGAGCGTTAACGGGAGCTGGCGGCTGTTTATCTTTCTGCCAAAATTAAAAGCAAGCAAGTAATGATGGAAATATTACAATATCGTTAATATATTATATTCATAATCTTTGATTATTTAAATTAAAATTAGGAAAAATGAACTTTTTACGAGAGAAATTCTCTCTAATTAGCACTCTCATCATGAGAGTGCACCCATATGAGACGTTCTGCAAGGAAGTAGGACTCTCCTACTTGGGGCCTGTGCACACCCCCAATTCCTGAGCTAAAAGTGGCTGTGATAGTGAAAAATTAAGGTTTTTTAAAATCCAATATGTGATATTTTCTGCATTAATTGAGCTTACACAATAACCTAACCATAGCGAAGTATAAAACGCTGCTTTACCCTCAAAATTATATTCTTTATTGATCCAAAGCCTTCGCTTGTCATATCGGGTTCGTAAGTCCACAGGTTTCACAGTCTAGGTTGATGCAGGTATTTCTTTACTTTTTTTAATTTTAAAGCACAAAAGCACAATACGCGAGCCAATCAAATTTTAAACTTAGATTACATGGCACAGATGATCTCATGATTTAATAAAATCAACTAATTTTAGCTTCTATGTGCTACTAAATTGGTTATTGTACGTTAATCTTAATATACTGCTGATGCAATAAAGAAATTAATTGTTAGTGTATTCTAACATGAACTCTTACTCTTCGCTGCAGCGCTGGCTTTGGTAACAGTTTCTACTGGCACCGGTCGACAGAAATTCTTATATTTCGCTTCCTATTAGCGGCCTATGTCAATGGATCAATATGCACAGCATCTGCGTTAACAAAAGTTTACCGCCATCAAAGTGAAAGAGCACGAAAGCGATTGGCAATCAGTCAAATTGATAGAATATTTTTCAACTACCGTGAAATTTCTCGCACGAAACGAGTGTTTAATAATTAATTTTTTCCGTTTAACATAACAACGCGCATTTTGAAAGGAATGTCGAGTATACCCGTATCTTTCTGCATTTCTATATAAGAAATTTAAAGCCAACAACTATTCAAATTGTTATTTGTAGTATCGTGTATGTATATATTATAATTATCAACTTTAAATCATTGTGGTTGATGTCGATAAATTCATATCATGAGATTTGACATAAGCTTTCTTCACAACATAATATATATTATTACATTAAAGGCATCAATCAATCAACAAGCCTAATCATAGTTAATCTCCCATCTGACAAACTTAATTTGTAATTTATCTCGCGATTTCTCAACATGAGCTTAATGTGTCAGATATATACGAGCGGAAAGCGGAGTTCAACAACGAAGTCTGACTGCAGAAAACAGCGCTCTTACGTAGCCAGCCGCAGCAATAGTTACTCATCAACTTTCATTTTAAAGAGAGAATGTAAGAGAATGCGGCTTGATTCAATTGCCGTTGTTCTATCAGCAAAAACGTCCCCATTCGAAACGTCTTCGATGAAAATATGGTGAATTGACAGGGCATTTTTCTGGTAAATTTCCGATTTGGTAAATTCATCAAAAATTTGCTCTTTAAGCAAACAAGTGATGAAAATATGCTTGAAATGATTGGAGTAAGGTTTGTCAGGTCTCATTCACTTTCTAGTTGTGAAATCAATGGGATCGTATCTAAAACATCGGCTAAAGGGAAGTAGGTGTTATGGCTTAAAAATTTCTGACCAAATTTAAAACATATCAGTCTGGCCACAGCAAAATTTACCGATAGGTTATTTCCGTTGCAATTATTGTGAAAACATCGCGCGAAGAGATATTTTGGTGTCATAAACAGCTGTAATCTTATCAAACTGATAGCAGGACACTTGAATAAGGTGTTAACTCACCAAGAAATAGCCTCAATTCCTGGTATCGTGTCAAATAATTGACGATTTTTAAACTGTTTATTTCTCTGAAAGATGTGACAGACATCTAAATGGCCGTCTGTGATGCAATTAAGTAAAAATACAGAAGGCAGAATAATACGATATGAAAAATATTGTCATGATCGACTTCAAATAGAGTCTCTTCGATTAGGATAAGCGCATTCCAAGATAACCTCACCGTCACAGTTCATGTTTTATCACAGATACACGATAAGAAATAACGTTTCACTGTTAACGCTTAAATTTGTAATTTTATTTCGCTGCGATCTCCGATTAAATACCTCCACAGCAGTGAGCATCGACTGTGAACGTTTGGACGTCAGTGGAAAGTTGGTAGTGGTCGTGCTTACACAAGTACAGGTCCGATGTAGTCTTTTTGGAAGAAGATGTGAATAGATCCAAAATTTTGATATGTACAAATTAAATAAAATGTGGGCAATGAAAGTGAAATAATTTTCAGTTCGAGTGCGAACGTTTGGACGTCAGTGGAAAGTTGGTAGTGGTGGTGCTTACACAAGTACAGGTCCGATGTAGTCTTATTGGAAGAAGATGTGAATAGATCCAAAATTTTTATATAAACAAATTAAACAAAATGTGTGCAATGAAAGTGAAATAATTTTCAGTTCCCGCGTTTCTGGTGCTTCTAATATAGTTATATTTAAGTACGTGATTAGAAATTTCTATTCCGACACTACAATCAATCATGGAGAGTGTTTAAAACACTACTTTTAATTAATTCGAGCTAATTGGTATCAATAAAGTTTGACTTCCAATCGATTCCCATATTTTAGCCTAATAGAGGAATAATTGTTTCATAAATAACGTTTTTTATTAGTTCGACGTTCAGTCATTCGAATTTATGAGGAATTCGAACTATGAGGAATTTTTAATTTCTTAATTTACACGCGATATGATAGTTCCTGGACTTAGAGACATTTTGGAGGGATATCTATCCACAGTACGTGCAGGTTAACGGTTAATAGGCGTCTTCACTCCTTTGATTTTGATAACGTACTATGTTCTTCCTGTGTTCACAACGAGAAATGTATAAATAATGGAAAAATCTGTTTTATTTTTGAATATCGTGTTGCATCGTGTGAATTACGTCAATTCGATTGTCATTAATCAAGCAAAGCTAATGACTCAGACGGATGCAACACTGTAGCGTTGAGCCTGGCCGATAAGTTATGATTGTTATGATAAGCGAAGATAATACAGAGCGCAATCATAAATAGACATGTCAAGTTGAACGTGACGCAAGTTTATCAAAAAATTGAAATGGTCTGTTACGCGCCAGCAGGTTTCAAGTATCATGCAGCAATATCATCTGAAATCATTACTAGTATTGGTCATCCGGAATCTTTAATAGTATTGATCATCTGGACTCATTACTAGTATTGGTGTGAAAAAAACATTCATCACAACTCAGAAAATACTAGTTAATTTCATGAAATCGTTTGCGTTAGAGAAGTGTGCAACCATTCAGCACTCGCATGCAGTTCGCATTCTTCTACTGATTTACCGTGACGTAAAGCAGTCATTTCGAAAAGTTTCGTCTACACAATCATATCTAATTCTTTTTCGAACTTGAAAATGTACAATCACGTCGGCTAAATTCCTTATCTTAAGGTCTACCTTGAAAATTATCAGAAAAAACATAACCTTGCATGTATTAGCAGCTAATTATAATTCCGTACAAAGCGACGAAAACGATTTAGCAAAAATGTTGCTCACAAATAATAAAGCTTTTAATTGACTACATACGTAAGCCAATATCCGACGCTTCCCAATTTATCAAAGAACCTTGATATAGTTGCTCGGAAGTTTTTTATTAAATATAACAGCAGTGTGACAATAAAACAGATCTATTTATATATGACTAGTCAGTTGATTGACGGGAGATCTGAACAGAAGCTGAAACTTTATAGCCAGATTAACAAGATAAGGTTCACGATAATGACCTCGTCGCTTCAGTAATACACTATGCACGTGAATATGCGTCAAAATATAATGCGATTCTAAATATATTTTAATTCAATAAAGTGACTTGGAGGTTGTCCAAGTCACTTGCCAATGTGTTGATTATTCAGTGGAAATATGGGGCTCAAATCAATTCATTGCTGCATTCCAACCTCACTTTCAGATGAAATGAGAATTAACGTCAGATTTTTAGGAAGTTTTGGATTCAATTTGGCCGCAGAAAGTAATTTGATTACTTGAAAATTTTAAATTAGTCTTTCACTTCCATATTTTATATATGGTATGAATTGTCGACTCCAGTTCAGAGGGCTATAATAAGACTTTTCAACGCTTTGTATTTGTTACAAATTTTAATTTTTCAGAAAATGGGGGCCTACGAGTTAGTTTGCTCCACTTCATGATACTCAAACCACTTTCCTGAAAGAAGAATAGATTGAAAAAAAAAATGTTTTCATTTTACCCCGTGTTCCAGATTTTTCTGATTGCTATAGAACAGCGATTAAACGTTATCGCGTGCTTCAAGGAATGTTCATCTCTGTTTTACTGTTGTAATAGCAATTATCATGTGAAGATAATCATACTAGCCGCGAATCGTGGATTAAATCTTAAATTCAAGTAGGAACTGCGGAACCACGGCAACTGTCATTCAAACATGAGAATAACTATTTCTATGGGGCCTCAAACCCTGGTCCATCAAATCATTTTCTTGTCAGTAGCTCTTCTATTTTCGGTAAGTTTAACCTCGCAAATAATAAATTGTACCATGAACCGATAGTTCTTCTATGAAGCACCTTGGTCTTGTAGTCAGAAAAACCGCCAAAATTCATTTCACTTTTGTTTCATCGTAAATTTATTTTAAAATTTGGAGATAGAATTAAAAAATTCTAAATTGCTCTGCAGTTCCCTAATACTCAGAACTAGAATGGGACGAAAACGAGGCAAAAATCCAACTGTATCTAACCAATATAATTCTAATTTAATTCATCTTCAATCTTTGATATTCTTTTTCAAGCAGACATCTCATGGGCAAGAATATGACTACAAATTGACTGAATACAAGACCTGTAACAAAGCAATCGATATGGCGGTCTTGATGCAAAACTCAACGGCAATTCAGGCTCTCCCAGTAATTTACCTGGCCAAGAAGGACCTGGAAGAGCAGGGCCTAAGAGGTCCTCTTCAGAACTGGAGCATCCGAATCAAATACAGAGATACCAAAGGATCTAACGTGGACGCAGCCCTCGAAGCTTTCCGGCTGCATCACGAAGGTGAGCTCTCATACAGTAACGTTTAATCGAAAGCGCATTGAGCAGAAATCGCATAACTAGATTCAGGAGCATTTAACCAGGATTATGCGAATTATTCTAAAAAATATTACCTGTAAACGGAAATTATAGTTTCAGAATTTTAGGCCAGACGCACGAAAGCATAGTGAAATTCTTCGAATGATAAACTTATGCACTACACGCATGATTACGTAATTTCTATTGTAAAAGTAAGATTTTTTTATACGGCTCCGATTTCTTCCATCTCTGTGTCTATTTTAGGTATTGACACGAATTCCTAGATCAAAAACATAATAACTCCTACATGCGACAAGCAATATCAACTGTCACATGAAAATCAGAAGTGACAGTTTAATGCTATTAGTGAGTATTAGTATTTATTATATTGCTATAAAATCAATATAATATATATATTATATTTGTTATTAGTAAGGCAGCAGCCATTTCCTAGAACATGCATTAAACGGCCAGTTCTCTGAACTTGCAGCCAGCCTGAAGTGTCAGCGAGCAGTGGCACAGGTCCCTGCTGCGGAATGCGGCGAAGAGGAACTTTCTCAAATTGGTTAGTTATGTAATATTACGACACTTTTTGAATTTGGAAACAAAGGAGTAATTCGAAAATTCACTCCTATTTGAAGAAACTATCCCAAAAATTTCATCAGCGAAGACAGTGGAATATTCAGCGCGCTTGTTTTATCGAGAATATAATTCCTACTGTTCAGATGTATTCCTGGGCCCTGTCGAAACCTACTCTGTGACAACCTTTGTTCGTCTGTCAACTCACTGGAACACGCCAGTCCTCAGCCCCGCTGGTAAAGACTTCCCCGGCGACCAGTCACTCTACAAGATACACGGACGATATTCCCAGGTACCTTGAACATGTATCCTTAGTCCTCAGTATCCTTAGTATTTGTTTGGGACATAGCAGTCCCAGGCTACGATGGATCGCCGCATGTAACACATACACATATTTCCCAGGATGACGAAATCGCAAGTGTTTTATGTTTTTGAGCCTGAGAACGAGATGAATAATTACAGATTAAAAGATGAATAATTAAATTCTAAAAGCTAATTAATTTGCTCAAATGAATCGAGCAAACTTCAAATTGTAGTACCAATGTAAATTTTTACGTTATGTTTTGCACAGGATAATATAACAATACCTGTGCTTTTCGAAGATTCCCGATATTGTCGTTTTTTAACTAAGCATGCAAATAAATAATAGACTGATATTGATTCACTAACTTCAGCTGGCGTCAAGCATACGGAAAATGTGGAAGGAATTGAATTGGACCCGCACGTACATTCTGTTCGAAGATTATTGTGAGGACACTGTGAAAGGGAGAACAGATTGTTTCCACGTAATGAATTCGATCAACGAGCAGCTGAAGAAGTATAACTACACAGTTGATCACTCGTGTGTCAAAACACATAAGCATTACGATCCAGAAACACTCATAAAAACCATCGCAGAAAAAGCCAGAAGTGAGAAATTTACGCCTAATTTTTATCAAGGTTTATGAAATATATGAAAACAAATGTTTATAATACAACACCGATCAGATGAGATAATTTTAAGGCTGGTAGAATCTTCCTTACTCTTTATTTATCTGTATAACAATTTTCTGCTTCTTGAAAACATGAAATTATATAACATATGAAATAAAAAAAAATGTAGAGGTCTTTACTGAATATAGAAATTCTCTTCGTTTCTATCCTTGAATGAATAGTTCAAACGCCAAGTATCTAGTTTTAGGTTTATGAAATTTAATATTATTTTACAAACATGAATTCTAACAGATGTCGCTTTTGTTAGTAAATAAAGGTTATGTGATTTCATTTTTCAGTTGTGTTGATGTGTTTCGAAAATCGATCACGTTTGATAGAGACAATGAAGGCGGCAAGAAATCCGAGTTACGCTTCTACGGAGGAATACGTTTTCATCAACGTAGACATTAGAAACAAGTAAGAACCCCGTTGTTAAATGCCGTCGACATCTCCACCTATGAAACTATGAAAATATTAAGCCACTTGGAGGTTACCGATCTTTTTCGATGACCAGAGTGAATGGAAACAGAGATTCAGAGATTTTGTACCCAAATTCGTTTATTCCGACCGAGAGAAGCACAAAACTAACCACTTACCAACTAATTTTCTTTCCTTCTAGTCCTGAAGAAGACAACTCGTGGTTGGAACCGAATTCAACTGCAGAAAATTTCGAACCAATGTTTGTGATCACTTCTCGTACACCAGCAAGTGACGATTATAGAAATTTCACCAAACGAGTGAGTGTTTTAAATTTGACAGATTCTATATTTTTTATCATTCAAAATACGAAAAATACAGGATTACCTAAGATAATTGAAAAGAATCGCCATAGAGCCATAGAACATGGAAACCTACTTCGCAATTCGGCAAAGTATGTAGAAAATTTTGCTGAGATCCACTTCATTCTTGTTATGAGCGAAGAGAAATCAATAAAATTTTGATTATAAATATTCAGGTGAGAATGTTAGCTTCTGACCCGGATCAAAAGGAGCTACGCGACCATCTTCAGAACCTCACCGCGAACAACAAAGCTCCCGCAAGTTTGAATTCAAGCACTCTGGTCTCTCCTTTAATAGCGAGTTTTTATGAAGGGGTTTGGTTCTTTGTCGAAGCATTCAACAGGACCCTCAAGTTGAAGCGATTGAATCCGAATATTTCAGTGAAAACTGAAATATTCAATCAAATGAAAACCGGCACCTTTTACAGTGAGTTGATGACATTTCTGATGTATTGTATTATGAATTAGCTTTAGCAATTGTACGATGGAATTGATATAAGTAAAAATAACAATATTTTTATCGATAATTGAGCCTCTTCTCTGCATCAATAATTTCATTTAAATGATAAGTTACATGATAAATCACAGAACGAAGGATTCTTTAAATGGTCCTTTTTAATAATTAACAGGTCACCTCAAGAAAAGAAATTACACTTTGACAGACAGAACCATCCCCGACCAATATTCGCTACTAAACTGGCAAAACTTATCTGGGGAAATATCTTTCCAGGTGAGCTAGCAAAAGAAAAAAATTATCCACAAATCATCAGACAAGGGTTCAATTGAAAGGGTAGAATTCAAAACAAATTGACGTCCGGAAATTAATGATTTCAAATTTCTTCAGGAAGTGGTCGTAATGGATACATTTGAAAGTACTGAAGAATGGAAATCTAATAATGCCAAAATATATTGGTATGGCAAGACGTATACATGGGAGCAGTGGAGAACATCCCGACCAACAGACTCCCCGGAATGTGGATTCAAAGGAGAAAAATGTGAGTTTAAAAAACACAAGAGCAAACTGAACTGATCACGAGCGCTTCGAATTAAGACCAAACTATTACTACAAAAATTCTCCCTGAGATTGGTCTTAATGGTTTAAAGTTATTATTTAAGTCATTGATGGGCAGGGTGGCCCAGTGGTTAAATCAGAGTACCAAGATTGGAGCAGAGAGGTGGGGGTTCGATCCCAGCTCTGTGCACCAGTTTCTGTTCAGATCGACAAGGAGGCCGGGCGGTTAAGGAAAGTGAATTTGAAGCAGTGAGTTGCGAGTTCAAGCCCGCAACATGTTGTGGATGTTATGGAATGTTAAGAATCGGTGACAGGCCTACGGCCTAATAAACGCTGAAATCACTATATGTTATATTTATATATATTGATAAGCTCTTATGCATCTTCAAATATTCGAGATAATACTGACTTTTATTAAGCTCAGTTGTATTATAGATATCTTAATGATTTTTAGTTTTAGGAGGAAATACCTAAACACCTTTCCAAAACAGGCAAGACAGATCGAGCAGGACTCCTGATGGCATATCATATCATTTATGATATGATGTTCATTTTCAAAATGCAACAGCATCCGTTTAAATATCAAAATATCAAAATAATGTTGAATTTGAATCATATGCTGAAATATTTATTTCCATAAAAAATCATCCCGAACATGAGGATGCGAGAATTGAATTAAAAACTCATTCTTGGTAAACTGCAAGCCGATAAAAGACTGATGTACATTTGTGAGAATGTAAATGTGTGAAAATTCTTTAGTTCTAAAAAAGTAATTATTTTATAACAGCAAATAATGAAGTTAGTGCATGAGCAAAAAAACAGTTCGACAAAAACCTTCCCAAACCAAAAACGGTCCAACAATTCATACGAGCTTGAGTAAATTCGTCAACTCTCAGAATAGCTCAAGAAAATTTTATCAGAGATTAGTGAGTCATAACGAAAACAGCAGCCTTTATTGAGTACTTTATATAGGCTTTCATCGAGTTTTTCGAGCAGGCGGCTGTGACGCGCGTTGTCAAGTATATGTCTCCCTCTCGGTTGCTGCGAGCTTGCTTCTCCTTGCAGTGGCAGTGGGCATATGGTGAGACTAACATAAATCTGTTAGGCATTGCTATGAGCAATCAAGCTCATGTTGAAAAGGTCATATTACACATTTAGAAAAGAAAAATACAACGCTCTTTTTATGAAATCAAATAACTTAGCTTAGCACAATATTAGAGGTATTCAAGTAGAAGTTCACGGTTTAAACAAAATTAAAGCGTAACTATTGTCTACTATGCTTGTCTATTATGAGCCAAAATTATTATTATTATGTCAAAATTATGCTTATTAGATTGTTTTTAGTCAAACTAAATGCACGCAAATTAATCAAATTCCTCTACTAAACTAGTAATCAGGAAAGCAGATTTTGAATAAATATACTTAACACTCACACGAGACAAGCTCAATATAAATGGCGAAATCCCTGGTAATTTTATACGTTATATGCTTTACCAATTATAAATTCTTAGCGATTGCTTTCTGGTCAAAATTTGAGATAAACCTGTATCATCATCACCGGATAAAAACTGTTTTATTTAATTTGTGCAAATGTAACCCAGCCTAATTTCCTATTAATCTTTAATGAAAATGTGCAGGATGTATCAAAACGAAAGAAGCATTAAAGAAATGTCTTGGAAAGTCCCGTACGAGGAAATCGATTTCACTTTTCAAACGGAGAAAAAACCAACATTCATCAAGAATGGCTCAACTTATTTGAATGATAATGTGAGCCTCATAAGCAATCAAGAAGTAAGTTGGGAAATCCATATTATAGATAATATAATCTATCGATGGTCATTTGATGTTATAATATTTCATTCATTTTCTTATGAAAAAACGTAAATTATTAATTAGCCTTCGCATAATTAGTCTTTATAGTTTCGGGTAAGTCGACTTTCCTTCATTCCCTCTTCATTTGCTTCAGTTAACCTTTCAATCCAAATAACATTTAATGAAAATTTTACGAGAAATCCTCAGTGTTGTCTGTAAACAACCTTCAAGAGTGATCTATTCTTAGTCTCAGAGTAACAAAAGTCTAACTATTAAATCACATTTAATAGTTCAATTAGTTTGCAGAAGCTGTGTGACATTCAGAGTAACAAAAACGTAACTATTGAATCACATTTAATAATAGTTCAATTAGTTTGCAGAAGCTGTGTGACATTGACGTGTTATCTGTAACGAAGATGACTGTCACTTTCTGTAGAATAAAATAGATAAGAAGTGTCGGTGCTGAAGAAATAGGCCCATGGCCTGTTGCCGATTCTTGTATCCTTTTGACCAAATCTTTTCAAAACTGACGTTGGTTTGAGATAGTTACTGGACTTATTGCCAGGTCTATAAGGTGCTTGATGTTTCAAGACTGAACATATACTCCGGCATAGCTTATCTATGACTCCCAAGCAATGATGCCGATGCCGCTACTCACGGCCGCTACATTGCAGGAATGAGTTATGTACACGGCGATGATCACGTTACTTATATTCATGCATTCATTACATATGTGCCGATTATTGAGTCGACAAATGCATGTTCGAAATAGATTACCGATAATGCGTCCGTATTGATGTTTAGTGCAGTTAACACCCGTAATTAACTAGAAAAATTGGGTGAAAATAATTACTGATTATGAAACGATAATTCCTTACCACCCGAGCCTGGAGGGTAATACTAACCCGTGTCGGTTTGGGGTTAAGAAATTATTTCTAGTTTGGTTTCACCGAGAGTAATCTAAAAAATTTCTACTCCAACAGCAAATTTTGAATAACAGTAGCAAAGCAAGGTTGGCATCATTCAAAGTAAGTATACTAAGAATCTAATGGTATAAAAATTATTAAATCTTACCACCATCAGCATACTCGTATATACTGCGCTATGCCAACAATGATTTTGAAACTTTCGTCCTGAGTTACAAGTTGGAACATATGATGCTGGATTATAATACTTATTTTAATATAATGATTCTAAAATTTAATTTATAAACATGTTTAAAAGTAATGATATTATCAGGGCAATCCAGTGATCGTAAAGTACTTGAGTCGAGCTCAAGTTCGTTTATCCAGGAAGCTCTTGCTGGAGCTCAAAGCGGTGAGTCAAATTCGGGCAGTTGCACTGATGCAATAATCACAATTAGAATTCAAGCTTTTGAATTGAATGGTGATAATTATTTAATATAATAATGATGTAATAATAATGCGGATACTTCCTTTTCAAAAATAGCATATGTTGAAGCTTCTTGCACTTATTTATAATCACTGTTGCACCAATTGCACGGCCAGTTGCACTAATGCAATAACCACTATTAGAATTCAAATTATTCAAACGTATCAATGATGAGATTGAATGGAAATAATTATTGAATATAATAGTAATGTAATAATAATGCGGATACTTCCTTTTCAAAAATAATATATGATGAAGCTATACATTAATTTTGGAAGATATGATATTACATAAAAATTGCTGACAATCATAAATTACATGCTGAACTGGAAACTGACTTGGAGGTTTTATAGACTAGTTTGTACTAAGAAAGAATTTCGAAGACAAGGCTCCTCGACAGCATCCACGAATGCAGAATGTTTCAAAGTAATCTTTGTTTTCAAGTTGCTTTGATGTCAGTCAAGCAACCTAACTTGTTTCAGATGAAGGATCTCGGGTGCAGAAACATAACAAAAGTATTTGGTGCATGCTTGGAAGCTCCAAACAATTGTATTCTCAACGAATATTGCACGCGAGGTTCACTGCTCAATTTATTAGGCAAGGAAAACTTTAAACTTGACAAGATTATGAAATACTCGCTTCTGTTCGACGTCGTCAAAGTGAGTATGAACGTTACGCATACCAAACGTATTTACATTTGGTATGCAATAACTAAATTTGAGCCCATAATTTTGCTAAGATTACTCGAAAGATATGTCACATATTTCATTTGGAAATTGAATGCTATATGCATTTAGGTTTTTAAATAAAATGAATTGTGATAATACGAAGCGTTCATCTAAGGGGCTGTTGAAGCTCCACTCTAGCAAAATAAAAATTCACGGAAATCTCAAGTCTTCGAACTGCGTTGTCAACGCGAGATTCGTCGTCAAACTCACGGATTTCGGAATTCTTGATCTTCGGGAGAGAGACGAGTCAATAGAATCAGCTGATACTGCGGACTTTTACGCAGGTAAGTCGGTAGAACATTGGATGTTCCAATAAATGTTCAATAAAATCAGATGATATTGAATAATTTTACGAAAATAACTCTACGATCGTGAATGTCACTTTAAAATGTTCAATAGAATCACCGGACACTGAAGACTTTCACGCATGTTAATCATTAGAACAGTGAATGTTGATATAAATGTTCAGTAAAATCACCTGATATTGAATACTTTTACGAAGGTGCGTCGATACGACCGTGAATGTTAAATGTTTCTTCAAATCAGTGGCTACCGGCTTGTGCCGCGCGTTTCATTAGTGGTACCAAAGCGCCTAGCGAGTGGTACGCGAACTTAGGAGTCATTGACGATTTTTTCATTTTGCTACTTGGCAAAAATGTTTATTGCATGACACAAGATAATCTGAAAGCAATTTGCAACAATTATCATACGCCACCCATAGACCGTCTCTCCTTCAATTGTATACATTATGCACTAAATGCAAAATTCGTTAGTGCATTAATTAAGTGAGATAGAGTTCAATCAATACTACTTATTAGCCCCTAATATGCAGTATTAGTTGATGCTGCCTCGATGTGCGTGGCGAATAGACAGATTCTCCAAGCAATACTTGATAACCACAATATTTGGAACCCCTGCTTTCAATCAGACTAATAGAAAACTGATCAGTGTTTAAACTGATTTATTGGCACATAACAGTGCCATAACTTCTTGAATGGATTTAACCATTCAAGAAGTATCAAAATTTATCCATACCTTCAGGGAGTGATAAACATAACAATAATTAACAATAAGGTCAGCTAAACAATAATTAATTTCCAGGTCAGCTTTGGAGCGCACCTGAAATGCTGAGGCGAGGTCATGAATTGTCAAGCCGTGAAATTCAGAAATCTGATTTATATTCTCTTGGTATCATCATAAACGAAATTTTTACAAGGAGAGGAACTTTCCCACTACCAGACGAGAGTAAACACATCTCAATCGCAGGTAAAACCAGGGCCCATACTTTCAAAAAAAGTTACGAGATCGTAAGTTCATCAGCCAATCATTGACGGCCTTTCAAGCAAAATCCACCAATCATAGACAAGAAAATAGAGCGTAAGTACTTACGTTCACTTTGCGAGTTTTGAAAGTATGGCCCCAGATCTGTATTGGAGAGAAATAAGTTCAATTGTTTCGAGCCGTAACTGATATGTTACAAGGCTGAACAGTGAACAATTTATGATAACTGCTGCTCATTCTCCAATCAACCTTAATTTAGATTGTCCTAGTATATTTATATTACTCTTCTTGTTTCACATTTGTTTATGGAAACATACAAAGATTAAACTAAAATGTTAATTCTTGCATATTCATCAATATTGCAGTACAATTTAGATAAAGAAATCTTCGTACCGTAAAAGATCAGTACACTTAAATTTATGCCAAAGAACTCAAATCATTCTAAATGCCTCCTAATTGCTCGTGGGTTTTTCAGAGATCGTAACCAAAGTAAGAGAAGGTTCTCTACCCCAAATGAGGCCGATGATTGGGGAAGACGTGGAGGATGAAATCAGGGATTTGTTGGAAAAAACATGGAAGTGGAATCCAAAAGATCGCATTTCCTTATCCGACATCAAGTCGGTCATCCAGAAGTGAGAAATTTTATTTGCATGAATTAATAATGAATAACGTAGAAATAGATAGATGGCAATCACACATTCTATAGCTGATATCTATATATCTTTCGTAATTGATTCATTGCAATAACAGCAGCAAAATTATAATACGTAACTTATACAACGTAATATTAAATATTACAACTAGAGAAACAATGTTATGTACCTACTCAATACAAAACTTTTCTAGTGAACGAAATATTTTACCAGGCAACAGAACACGGGAAACATAATGGATAATTTATTACGAAGAATGGAAGAATATTCCAACGAATTGGAAAAACAAGTCGATGAAAGAAAGAAAGACTACATGGAAGAGAAGGCGAAATGTGAAGACTTACTTTATCAACTTCTGCCTAAGTACATGATCCCAAAATAAAACGATACATAATACAAATTAATGCACTTCTAAAGTAGAACTTTATGCTCACATGACGACATTTAATTAAAATGAAAATGTCAAATTATTAATACACAATTGCTTGAAAATACTGAACACCAATATTGATAAAATTCGAATAAACAATCTGATAATTATGTGACTGGATTCGGACTCCGACAGATCAGTGACAGAGAAGCTGGTGGCACGACAGCCAGTCTTGGCAGAGCATTTCAGCGCTGTGACCATTTACTTCAGCGACATAGTTGGTTTCACATCACTTTCTTCAGAATCATCACCAATGCAAGTGAGTTGCGAGAGAAAACTTTTTAAAATTCCGAAAAATAATAGAAATAATACTATTCGTTTCCTTCAATGTCGTTAACTGTACAATGAATAAATAATCAAGGCATGCGTAAGGGCGCTCAGAATGTTGTCATGAACACGTCCACGGGATCACAGGCTTGTCACATTTCAAGCAAGCTTAACGCAAGCCCTGTAAATTCTATGTCAAGCATGAAAAAATGTATTTTTTCAATACAAGAATTCATGAAATACTTGTTAATTAGATTTTTCCCTCAATTGCCAATTTTTTGAAGGCACACTTGTGCAAACACTACTAAAAATTTGTAGTGATATCTCACGAAAAATCATGGTCTGATCTACTAAACTCTGAAGTGATTATGCAAAATATGATTTCCTATTCTTTTAAGGTTGAATTGATGCTTAGTAAGCTCCCGTTATCACTATTTTATGAAAAAATTGTCTTTCAGATCGTAGAAATGCTCAACGCTCTCTACTTACTTTTCGATACAAAGATCAAGGCTTTCGACATTTACAAGGTGAGTGCTCGGAGTGTCGTGAGAAAACACTGACATATCGGCCAGGAAGTAATGGCAGACTCAATGTGTCAGACATCCATATACCTTCATATAATATAGACTTCATCTAATAGGAAAGAAATTGAAAATGAAAGATAAGAATTAAATAATCATTGCTGAGTCCAGGTGTTACAAGCGGTCGGCGCATGACTTCTTCACCTTCAAACCGGCATCAAATCAAATCAGACTACTAGCATATTAGCCCGGCATCTTTCAGGATCGGTAAACCTTTGCGTTTAAGAGTCTCGTTATCCGGAATCTCGCAAATAAAAATAAAGTTAAAGAAAGATCGGTTTTGATAATTACAACAAGACCTGTCTGTTCACACATACATTTAACAAAAATTTTCATTTAAATCCCTTAAAAATGAGGGAGAAGCATTATTCGTCATCAAATTTATTTGTTTAACAAATAAATAGCAAAATTACTTTAATCAATCCAAACCTTCCCGGCCCGTTTTTCAATGCCTTTCTATTCTTCCACTAGGAATAAACTGTGAGGCCCAGGGTATCCTAAATACGCGCCCCAACAGCCCCCTAGATGTTTGTGGTGTCAGTCTTGAAACAAACTCACAATCTTTGACAAATCTGTGTAGATTGCACTTTGAAAATTTGCGTTCGTGGGCTTGTTTTACTGCAGTGTTGGCCCTGTAAATAAATATATGGGGGAAATTCAGACGTATTTCAGCAACGTCCATCTTGCCGAGTCATTGCCGGATCTCTGATTTCATTCGTAGTGATGTAATAATTGGTACCACAGAAAGGTGAAGGTAGATGCTAGTAACATACAAAATTTTCAGTTCTAATTTACTAGCGTGAATCTTTCCTCTTACGGTATTTATCAAAACTTCCAAAGAACTTCCTAACGGGAGAATGATGAGAAAATTTATCACGAATAGACGTTTTAGTAGTGCCCTGTTTTTAATTACGTTAAATTAGTTTTAGAATTATCATTGGCAACGTGATTGGGACAAACGGGATGGATAAACTCAAATCTGATACATCACAAGTCAGAAGCAACGCCAGTTTGAGCTATTAGTTGTTAGTTAACAAATTACGAAATAAAGTTATAACGTTGAACAAATGCGCAGGTTGCTAATATCACTTGTGCATCGGCGTTTTCGTTGGTTGTGCGAATATCATACTAATTGTGATTATTAATCAGAAAAATTATTTCAAAACGACTCGAGAGTCGCGTCCACATATAATTTTTAGGTCGATTTCAACCAAGATCTCTTATTTAGGTAGAAACTATCGGCGACGCGTACATGGCTGTGTCTGGTGCGCCTCAGCGAAATGACAACAGGCATGCCAGAGAAGTTGCAAGGATGGCCCTCACACTGCTGGACGCAGTCAAGAAATTCCAGTGAGTATATTAGTCCATCTAATACATTGGTGCTTGATCTTTCGTCGGCGCAGGGACTCTATAGAAGCCACGTGTCCCTTAAGGACGCTAGAGTTTGGGGCGAGGTACTTAGGAGGGCTATAGTGCATTACAAGCATTGAAGCGCTGAGATGTGTTTCTCCACTGAACAAATTTCGATGCAAGAACGAGCAGATACATTCTAAAAAAATTTTAATCATAAAAGCTGATTTTATTCATGCCAGCAATTTTTTTATGGAATTGTTACGTGATTCAACTCGTGCGCTCTGAGACGCTGTAAGAAAAAATCCCTGTAGTCACGTTGTCAAAAAGTAATAATTGTAACTTATTCTTACTCCAAGCCCAATAGTTGTCAATTACAATGCAACTTAGTGATAATTTAATAATATTTCAAATCTTAACAACAATAATTACATCAAATCAAGTATTTGAACCATTCATCGTCTTTTCTTTCTGAAATTTCATTCTTTCCCATAGATGTTAAATCGATGTCATAAATTCTTAGGGAAAAAATCATCAGATTCCCAAAATCTTTACAGAATACCTCACCGCCCCGAGAAGCAGCTGCAGCTGCGGATAGGGGTGCACTCGGGCCCGTGTGTGGCCGGGGTGGTGGGACAAAAAATGCCGCGCTATTGTCTCTTCGGCGACACCGTCAACACCGCATCCAGGATGGAAAGTACCGGAAAGCGTGAGTGTCGGTGCTTATCTCCATGGTTGAACTAGTATAAGGTTGACCCATGAGAAGCTCATTTTCGCGGATGGAGCTTGTTTTTCTCCTATGACGTCACTGATCTCAATGACGTCACGGGCATAAACCAATTACCGAAATGCCTTCAAACCAGTCAACCAATCCGTCATGGGAATGACGGGTTTGTTTACGTTTCTCGATCTCAGTGACGTAACAAGAAAGCTGAACTGAAAGGCGGAACTTGTGGGTCAACCTTATATAGTTCAACCATGCTTATCTCATTCTCGCCGTAATATATAGTTAAAATAATGTACATAAATTCATAGTAATTAAGCTACGTTCATGGATTATTAAACAGGAGACTGGCTACTATACTTATTAAATCCCGAATCATTCCCAAAGCGATGGAGATCCACGTGTCGAGCACTACACAAGAGCTTCTAGAGCAACATTTTCCACAATTTCAGCTAGAAGCCAGAAACTCCGAAGAAATAGAGGTGAGTTCAGGAAGTTTTGGTAGTTGGTAGTTTGAAAATAAATCCGTCTGAATTTTAATTTTATTCATTTTATATATATATAAAAAATAAATTGTAGATATTTTAGTCTTTTAAGAAATGCTTGGCCTCAAATTTATAAAATATTCTGCACACCATATGCTGGACGACATAAATTTAATGCCCTGGAATTTATGCCCGATTAATCGCCATTAAGTTCGAGACTTAATTAAGCAGAAATTACATTTTTACGTAGTGTGTTTTTTACATTGGAGTTAAAAATTTCGATGCTTCGTGATTTTTTTTATAATTTGTCCAGGGTGATTCACGGAAACTTCCTGCTTTGAAAGCTCAATAAAGACATAACTAGTAAAGGTATAATTACAATATAAATTTATGGAAAAAGACATTACACTTAGGTTTAAAGATTACATCGGATATATGACGGCCTCCAAAGTCAATGCATTCAGTTAGTCGATTTTTTAAGTTCTGTTCGACTCTCTGACGCTTATTGACAGGTATGTTGGCGATGACTTGGCGTATGTTGTTCTTCAAAGGCAGGGTCCTTGGACAGTCATTGAGAACAATTGGTCTAAGTCTCTAAGATAACTTAAAAAAATTAAACGAAGCCAAATCGAAGGATGGGGCCGGACAAATAAGGTCTCCCCTCAAGGAGATGAGGTGTTATGCAAAATGTTGTCTCTGACAAAGACAAATATGCAAAACGACCATTAGAAAAGTACGCCTAAACAGCAAACGCACGCTACTCACTTGTCAAATGCATAGTGGCAACTGACTAGGCGGGACACAAAATTTCACTACCTTGGCTTTCATATGGAATACTCGCGCCTTTTTCCTACAAAATCTGACTGATTGGCGCTTACTACAGAAAAAGGTTACAGAATAAGGTTACCTTCATCTGTGATGAATCACAGATGAAGCTTCCGTGAATCACCCTGTTCTACACGTGGAAATTCATTTAGTCAAATTTAAATTAAGCTGCATTAAAAAAATCACAACATTTTGAAACTCGGTCGAATCGCATAAATGAATACGTATTGAATTCTTCCTCGAACAGGGTAAAGGAGTCGGTACACAAACATTCTGGTTGAAGGGAGAAATAAAATCGGAAGAGGCCTCAGAAGGCGAGTTTAGCAGTTACCAGGAGCGCGACGAGATGAGATCGAACTCGAGCCGAAACCCAGAAAGAAGCCGAAAAACGCTGACCCGACAGAACTCAAACATTGAGACGAGGACTCAGCGCATCAGTAACCAACAATATCAACTTGACCTTTCTGCTCCAAATACTCCTCTTTTAACTCACCTTTCTGATTGCTCGATTCATCGTGCTGCTTCAAGCTCAAAAAGTACATCGAAATCCAGGATTGATGATTCATTGTTACTTCGTGATCAACTTTCTGCTCCTTGCACGCCTCTTCTATTTAGGTCAAATCGCATAGCAATGCAAACATTCAGGAACTCGTCCATGAAAAAATAACGCTTTGACGAACCAGAGACGAACGAGAATAAGGAACATTTCTTATTTAAAAAAATTCTGACATGTAGGCTATTCATTCAGAAGCTACTTTTACAAAATGTATTTGATGTTCTATTTGAAAATTAAGTCTGTCTGCAAATGAAATGTTTAATATTATATTACTGATGTCCATGAATACGAAAAACTATAATTGCTAGTAGTTAGGCATTTCAGTCGAATCGTTTTCGGTTGTTTGATTCACCCAATCATAAACTTTACAAGATTTGGAGACTTCGTCAGCCAATTCGCTTGGAAACGGTCTTTGATAAATGCTCCGTCCCAAATTGTCTACAATAAAAGTGATTCTCAAAAGTCTAAGGTTCAAATAGAGAAGCATAACGTTTGACTTTTTTGATAAAATCGCTTGGGATGCATGAGCTTCGAATTAGTACAAATGATAGTATATCGTTAAGAAGAGCTAGTCTTGGATGTGTGTAGCATCTTACATTATTTTTATTTTTCTATGTATAAATATTGTACGCTGTAATTCATTTACGAGTGCAATTTACTCGTAATAAATTATTAATTAAATATTATACTAACTCGTATTAATGTTATTGGTGGCCCACACGAGGCAAAAATAGTGCATCGCTGTTCGGACAGGGACTCGCTCATTCCACTGAGTGTACGGTGCAGTCGTCGCCCGGGTACACGGTGGAAAATGTTTATAAAATAATGTTATGGTGGAAAATGTTTATATAATGTTATGTTGATAATTATAACCAAAGTGGAATTGCCTTCCACTTTGGTTTTAATTATCAAGAAGGAATATGCAGTGTAACTGGAATTCGAAGTTACCTCGTCGCATAAAGGAGCTTAAAATTCATGTCTATTTTGATAGTGTATTGCTGCATTAATACTACTATTTTTAGCACATTTTCTCATTTATGGAAAAAAATGCACTATTGTAATCGCCCTGTCCGTCTGTCTGTCTGTCCGTGACCTCAAGATTTCTTCGACGAGAAAATGCGCTCTTTGTCACTCACTGCAGTGAGTACTGAGTTTTATTTTTTTCTAATTACGTGATTGAGATTCACAACTAGTTACTCGGCCGATGATTGCGATTATGTTATTATATTTGAATGCTTGTTCATAATGATTTCTTTAATCCATTCTTAAATAATAATCATGCTTATTTAAAATAATAATTATGCTTATAATAAACTCCTATTGAAAATAGAAATTAATTTAAATTCAATATTGCGCGATTCAGTTTAGAACCTTACTTTACAGAAAGCTCTAGCTGAAAACTGTTAGCAGTCTGCGTGTTTCGAGCATCATCTCTCTTATGTCGCTTTGGTGTGAACAACTGCTGTAAGTTTATAAATTACCGTACTCTCATGATTAAACTGTACCTACGAATAATGAGTTAGTTACCAATGTAAAGTTTTAGACCAGATTGTGTTCGAGCTTATTTACCTTGGAGCAACCCTAGCAGGCTAGCAATGTGTTTGAACTGAACTCCTGAAACCTTTTATGGTTATCCTGATGAAGTTTGACTTTAGTCACTCTATGAAGTCAATCGTAGTTAGACTTCAGTTAAATTATGTTTCTAATTCGTTATTGCTTCCATGTGTTGATTTATTATTTGATGACTGTAATCAACCGACCGATTTCAGGACAGGTGTTGGTTAGAGTCGTCATCTACAACTCACAATGTACAGTTCATTAAAAATATTTCTGATGCCCCACTTCTTATAACCCATGATATTATTTACTCAAATCTAGGAGGTACCAGAGTATCTCCTCATAATTCCCCCCACTATGCCATCCACCAAACCTCAAAAGTGGTAATATCCTCACTTATTTTTTAATTTAAAAGGTGGAACGACTTAAGGTTGGCTCCATTTTCACAAGGCATGTCCAAATTGACGACCATGTTTGTGCCATATCATTTAAAGTAACTAATTTATCACTGCAAATAGGCCCGGTTCCCAAATTAACGACGATGTTTTCGGCACATGAAGAAGGTCAGGTTACGAATAAATGATCTTATTCGCTAATGGGGCCTCAGCGTAGTTCTGCACCGAGATACAATGGTTTGCGATGAAAAATGACACAGTTCTTATGAATCAAAGGACTTCCAGTCAAAGAAAAAGTATGGGTACAGGCGTCCACAAGACGCTCTTGCAACAGTTCATCCGTGCCTGCGCAATTGCTTCTAATGACCGCAACGATGCCAATACAGTGCCATTTGTTCCGTGAAGTGGAACAATATTTCGCGATATAAATACAAATTTTCCCGCGGTTTCATTTTAATTGTTCTAAATTCCTATTCTACTTTTCTGATCGCAGTAAAATGAATAGATTTCAAAAAACCTTATCATGTATAATTTTCACGTAAAATTAAATTTTAAATCACAATGCTATTCGAACGACGCGTCAACAGCCTAACATGGAAATTCACATTAAAGTCGAAGATAACATTTTTAGGTAGCATTTTATTAGGAGAATTTCGTCTCTTTCAAAACTGAAGGAAAACTAATCAATAAAATAAGCAAAATCAGAGAGAGTTCATTTTTTAATAGTGAACTACTAACATGCATCAAATAAATATTAGCCATTTTGTGTTTTGGACGTTTGTTCGAGCCCAAAAGAACAAAAAATTATATAAATGTTACGTAAATCGTGATGTTGAAATCAAGCGCTACCATCCCGAAAACGAACGAGGAGGATCAACATTACATTACGTTTTCTTCAACATTTTATACGCGAATTCGCCTTCTCAAATGTATTTGATGAGCTTGTATGTTTTGTTCTACTGAGCGATGAGGGTGTTTAATGGCCTACAGTAAAAAGTTGTTTATGAGATGAAAATTATAGGCCTAGGAGGTAAAAAATTAGGTTTTTTATGATTAAAAGAATGAAGTGAATGTGATTAACTCGCACTCAAAGTCAACTACATATATAAATACAGAGCAAATAGCCTATTTATTCACTAGTCTTATTCACTATCAGAGCAAAGAGGAGTATTTAATACAATTATGCTGCTGCAGAGCACACAGAATTTCCCACAAGCGTTAGGTCAGGCAGGGAGAGAGACAGCGATTCGGTCGTCTTCCGGAGCAAGGACAGCTGAAACGATGAAGAGAGTACAAATCAATCAATAAATTACAACTAACAAACTTCCCCGACGTTTTTCACACCGAAAAATCTTTTCAACTATTGAAATTATAAACAACTTTACAACCCCTCTTCCAGCTCGTAAAGCTTAACTCAACTTTGCATGCAAAATGTTATCCCAGCGAAAATTGCAAAATGACTCTACAAGACGCTCTCATTTTCACAGACCAACTATAGCCCCATGAATATTAGGAAATAACCAACAGAAAAAAAAACGTGTAATGAGAAACTTGGCAAAAAAAAGAAATGCTCAAAAGCGTTCTAAATAAAAATTGCTGAAGCTTCCAAATGAAACAAATAAAAATCGAACATGTTTAAACAATAAAAACAAAATCAGAAGAACACCATGAGAAAACTAAAAACCAAAATAAAATGACAAAATTGGAAGAAACAAACGTATCTCTTAATCCCTGTTCGAAAAGTACGGTGATCTTACCTGAGGCTGACACGGCGTCCTGGGGCTACTGAGGCTTGTTTAACAGGACCCAGAACAGGCGTTGGAGGGAAGAATGGCTGATGGGGGCAACTGACGAGCCACTGACACGAGCTCTGATGTCAGCTTATCAGCTGGGATAATAAAAATGCACGGTAACTTTTGATCAAATTGACGAACAGCGTCTCATATCAAAAATAATGCAGCACAAAACATCAAGAAAAACGATATTACTTTGACTCATTTCGATTCAAACTAAACAGCAAAGATTGGAGCTTTACCTAATTAGAGGTTACTTGCAAACAAAATTCTATTCCAGCACCAAAAGGTTAAGAATCTTCACAATGGGGTATTATATTATATATATTATAGTAGCTCTGAAATATCAATGGGGTATTATATTATATATATTATAGTAGCTCTGAAATATCAATGGGATACTATATCATATAGGTACTGTATATTATAGTTGCTCTGAAATATCAATGGGGTATTATATTATATATTATAGTTGCTCTGAAATATCAATGGGGTATTATATATATAATAGTTGCTCTGAAATATCAATGGATATCATATTATACTTTTCCTCATTTGGATGACATTATCGAGCTCAGTAATAAAATTTTGAAACAATCACTAATATTTCCCAAAACTAAAATTTTTAATCACATTCGAAATTAATATATTCTACACTATTTTCAACAGTTAATTCCAACACAATACCTACTATTGATAATACATGTAACAGCTATTTTCTGATAATTCCAGCACAAAATTATTGGCATAAGCAAGCTTCAAAAACGTATAACACGAAAAAGGTGGTATTCTTATCATGAACAATACGTAGGCAACAAAGTATTTTTGACAGAGATATATATTTTTATCACTAATTGCACTTGATAACCCACCAAAGCTGTCAAGGAAGCTGACATCAATGCCCAGGGAGCTGAGGGAGCGTAAGTTGCTGATGTCAGCGACATCTGCTGCTTTCTTGCTGTCGTCGCATGACTGTGAAGCGTCCCTGAGGCAGCCATCGTAAATTATATTATAAATTATAGTCATAATAAAGTATATTATGAATTATAGAGCCATAGTAAAGTATATTATGAATTATAGAGTCATCGTAAAGTATATTATGAATTATAGAGTCATCGTAAAGTATATTATTAATTATAGAGTCATAGTAAATTTTATTATTAATTAGAGTCATAGTAAAGTATATTATGAATTATAGAGTCATTGTAAAATATATTATAGATTATATAGCCATCATAAGTTATAGAACGATCTTCATTAATCTGCACTTGGGATGGAAAAGGGCAACTCTCAACATAACATAAAAATATATAAGATTTGAATTTGCTTTTTATCAAGATAAATATTATTCCAACAAATATTAGTTCCTTTGCACGTATATCTATTTCAAATGAAATTTCAGTTGAGCATTGTGATTATTGAATGGTTATGCTCCAAGTTATCTATTCTATCACAAATAAAGCACTTGGTGTGAGATAAACATATCTGAAGCAAGAAATTTAGAATTAGTAAGAAAATATCACCAAACTTAACTCAAACTCAATAATTGCGTATTTGATAACGGCCATAAATGATGAAACGTTTTGATATTGAAGAGGTCAACTTTAATTGTGGAAAAAAAACTATATAAATTAGATAATTCAAGTCATAAATGATTCAATACAGGCGACTACATTATATCTTTATAAAGTAGTCGCCGTACTAGTATATCGGCGACTACTACTTCATATTATTTATATTACTTCATGTGCAGTTGTTGTTGTTGTTGCTGTTGTTGGTGAGCAGCAATAGTGGCGCGGGTGCGACTGTGCTGTCCTGACGTCAGCAGGTTGAGGAGCTGATCGACCAGAGTCGTCGCCATGCTGCAGTCTCGGGAGAACTCGCAGATGCTGCAAGAAATTAGGGAAAATTAGGAGTTGTGGTGAGAACGTGGTAAGAAATTAGGGAAAATTAGGAGTTGTGGTGAGAACGTGGTAAGAAATTAGGGAAAATTAGGAGTTGTGGTGAGAACGTGGTAAGATCAAGTGTGTTAGGATGGTGGGGACCATCGTCAGAGCGGAGTAACATGCATGAGCTTTGCAGTTTAAAAGATCAAATTTAAACGTGGCTTTAGAAAAACTAAAAAAAAATCAGTGCAATTAGATTCATCATAAGTAAAATCATGTACACTATTGACGAATTAAATTCGAGGATGAGAGACCACTATTAATAATACTTGACCACCAGAAAATTTCAGAAAATAATGAATTAAAATGAAAATAAATACATATAAATATGTGGAGTTATTAGTAGTGACCTCTCGGCATACTGCACGGCCGTCTCGTTGCCGTACGTAGCTCGCACTAAGTCGCTCTCTTCTTTGCTCAAGTTAGAGAAGGTCGAGTCATAGCTCGGGCAGAACGACGAGTACGACCCATAATGGATCGGCTTCACTGCGAGAAATGAAAGAAACAATCAAGTTTTTATTTAAGAAAAAGCAACCGGTTTTTCATAAAGGTCCGAACACAACTGGATCAGAAGAGCTGTGGGCAATAGTTCCTACAATATTAACAAAATAGCGAGATGTTGAGAACAATTTAAAATTTCTTCACTAGACCGTCAATGTACGAAAGTACAGTTGATTTACAATATTATCTCATAATCGTGCTGATACTCCATCATCAAAAAGAGTAACTCACCAGGTTTAGCCATTGTACGCTTATCGTCATGGTAGTTGTGTAGAGTAGATGATCCAGAAGTGAGCTTGCCAAGAACCAGGCCCAGGTTCAGGGGCTTGCTGTCAGGTTGCTGAGCAGATCCTCCGCTACCGCCACCTCCGCTACCGCCACCAGCGCTACCGCTGCAGCCGCTCAGGAATGTGAGGCCGACAGTGCCGTCTGGGCGAGGCTTTAGATAGCCCATCTGTAAGGTATAATCCTTAGGAAAACTGATTTATGATCCAAACGAAAGATCAGAGAGAGTAGTATACAACAATTTAAAGGCTGAAATTGATTAAAAAATATTTTTAAAATGTACCTTTCTTAAAACAAATATAAAAAAATATTGCGATAAAGTATTTATTTGAAAGAACCCGTTTTTCTATATTGTTTTCGAGGTAATTGAAAAAATATTTATATCAATGAATCAACACAAACTTTTCACTTGGCCAATTAGACGAACGATTCTGTCAACAACCACAAGTACAAATCTCTGGAACACATAGACACTGACAGTGGAGGTGGGCTTGTTCTTGTGCAGGGCCAGAGCAGCGGCGCGGGCGGCTTTGGTCGCAACATCAGCCACGTGGACAGCCTCCGTCTCAGAGTCTTCGGTACCGTCACCCTCGTCCCCGTCTTCCTCCTCATCTCCCTCAGACCTGAAACGCATGAGAGATGCACTAGAAAAATACACACTAGCACACATCAAATTGTCCTCCTTATTTATGTCAGACATGACAAGGACAAGACATGCGCTAGAAAAATCAACGCTTGCACATCTTATCATAAAATTTTAACCCTCCCTTCGTTTCCTTCAGATGTGACAAGTAAAAGACGTCCTATTTTTACGACCTATCACCAATTGAGAATTAGTGCCAGCAAGAGGCTGGTCGTAAGTCAAACCAAATGTAGGCCAAAATCAAGCAACAGTGAAGCTCATACTTGGAAAGCAATCGATTCATTAAACGGTAAAATAAGCAGACAAAAATCTGCAACAAATTAACGAAATGAATAGAGAGAGCACCATAAGAAAAGAACAAATTAAAACTAGTTTATGAAGTCTTCATACTTTCTTGAAAGCTGCAAAATAATCTTAAAAACCAACAATGATGAATTAAGATATTCTAATGATACGCAAAGCCATTTTTAATCTACAAAAATAAATATATTGTACGTCAAGCAAAATACACAATCTCAATTAGACAAAAAACTCTTGCAAGCAATGAGCAGTCAGGATAAAGTTCTTGTGCGTGTTACTCTTGTTACTAATTACTATTTTTTTCATCTTTAGGGAATGACACTACCTGCTGTCCTGGCTGTTGGGGGAGTCAGTGCGATCGTCAGCCCCGCTGTCAGCTGCCTCATTAGGGCTCTCCAAGTGGACCCCAATCTGAACAATAATAATAATATGTTACGAGAATAATCCTGGGCAGCAAATACCATCTTTCAACTGAGTCGTTGAGCTGGCAACTCAAGTAGTACCACACAGTACTGCAGTACACTAAATACAGCAGAGATTATATGAAACTAAAACGGATTAATAACATTAGTATGAGAAATACTATGGATATAAGATAGAATAGAGTGAGTCAAATAATTTTTTAAAGCAAAGCTATCACACTAGATAAGTTTTCATTCATTTAGCAAAATAGTAAAAAGCCATTACACCCCAGTAAATTTTTCTAGATAACAGGTCAAAATGTTATTTTCCATTATGAGTAGATTTCTTGCCAAATCAAGACTCACAACTTCATGAGGCAAGATGGCAATGGACGGCATGTCTTTCTTGAGGGCAAGAAGCCTGTCTTTACTGAGAACAGACTGCGCAGCTGCCAGCAGTTTCTTGCCCGCACTGTAGTAGACGGTATCTGGTCCGTTATATTTCAGGCAGTTGGCCACAATGAGCTTCACATCATCCTGAGGAGTATGGTTCAACATGATGAAAAGCAGGCATCAAATAAATCTGTCAGCGAATAATGTCAGGCAAGTCCACGCATGGGATTTATTTATTATTAGATTTTAGGTTTTAAACCTGCTCCATTTAATTGGTTGCTGGCCATAAACTAAAGCTGGGCCATCAAGAACCACTTTATGTTTCCAAGATTAAGAAAGATGTACCAGTACAAGACTTAAAGTTGCTTGGTACATGATAATTAACAAAGAAAATAAATTGAAACATCAAATAATTTCCTTCCGTGAGGGAGAAGCACTCGCCTCATATTCAGTGAGGAAGGAGTAAGTACCTTGAGCAATCTTCTCCCTCATGGTGCAGAAGCACTCACCTCATATTCAGTGAGGCAGGAGTAAGCCCCTTGAGCAATCTTCTCCCTCATGGTGTAGAAGCACTCACCTCATATTCAGTGAGGCAGGAGTAAGCACCTTGAGCAATCTTCTCCCTCATGGTGTAGAAGCACTCACCTCATATTCCTGTCTCTTATACACATCTAGATGTGTATAAGAGACAGATCTTCTCCCTCATGGTGTAGAAGCACTCACCTCATATTCAGTGAGGGAGGAGTAAGCACCTTGAGCAATCTTCTCCCTCATGGTGTAGAAGCACATGGGCTCAGTTATGATGGAGGAGTAGCCGGGTGCTATGAGGTCAGTTACGGGCTCCAGGAAGAACTGAAAAATTAAATTTCTTTCATTCCCAAGAACTTTTTTCTAACAGATCCAGGGCACAATATGATTACCTGTGTGATCACTTCTAAAAATACGATGCATGTAAATAGTGATAACAACATAAAAATATAATTAATTTTACCTAGGATAAACTTAGGGTCATCTTTGTTAGCACAATTTGAGGAGTAGAACTCCATTTACATGTCACTTGACTTTTGACCATTAGAAAAAAATAAAGTGAAAACACAATGCAATGAAATTTTACATGTATAAGAAGATATCTTAAAATTCACAAAGCAATTTCCTCTCTTTTTAGTCCAATCAAGTGCAATTTAGATCTATTAACAATTAACTCTTTGGCTCTACAAGCTTACATACTAAATGAAGAAAACTAGGAAAATGGACTGAATAGGAAACTATTTATTTACCTGGTTTATATCCTTTTTCTCAAGTTGCTTCAGGAGATGAGTCAATAACTCCTTAAAGGCAGCAGCTACAGCAGTTGAAGATGCAGCGGGCGCGGCTGGTATTTGACTGGCTTCTCTAATTTTCTTGTAGCTTGGCTCATCAGCATCAGCATTTGCATCCTAGAAAAAGTCCAATTATTTATTCACCATATTACACCAATCACATGAAAATGTAAAAAATATAACTCAGTACTCACAGCAGTGAGCGACAGAGAGCGTATTTTCTTGTCGACGAAATCTTGAGGTCACGGACAGACAGACAGACGAACGGACAGACAGACGGACATGGCGAGCACAATAGTGCATTTTTTACATAAATGAGAAAATGAGCTAAAAAGATAAAAAAAATTATAAATACTCCAAATAAATGAAATGGGTTAAAATAAATTATATCTAGCAAAGTAATCTCTCAAAATAACAAAATATTAAAAAATTTGACATCATTCTTTGCAGAGAAAAGGTTTGCTTACATTTTATCCCTGAATGTTAAACAAGAAACTAAGAGAAGTAATATGTTAAAGTAAGAGTCTCACTATTTGTGATCGATCTCTCTTGTGTTTGTGAGAGCGGTCTTTCTCTCTTTCCTTCTTCTTCTTTTTCTTCTTGGACTTCTTGTGTCTTTCTCTGGAAGATAAAATGACAAAATTGCAATATTCAATGCCTGTTTTGATGAAAATTTTGAAATATCTGACATACCTCATTCACACTACGGACTGGTCTGAAAATTGACTTCACACCAGGTAATTGAATGCAGGATATTTCAGCAGAACATCATACTAAGGATCTGTAAAACACTAATATGAGAACATAACTATACTCTCACCTGCCAGTATCCTCAGCTCCTGCACTAAGACTCTGGAGCCCATCTTCACCGGACACAAGCTGTGAGCAGTTTATGTATATTATTTGCACATCTAAATTCATAGCATATGGTCTCGTATACCATGTACTATTCATAGTATCCGCACTATTCATAGTATACGGCACCGCACCAAGAGGCAAAATCATGGCTAAATTTAATAGATGACTGAATTAAAAATTTGTCCTTGAAACTATGACTAAAAGGCAAGAAACATTACCAGAATATTTTCTTAAAATTTAATACATTTATAAAAAAAGTAAGAATTAAGCTTATTTCGGACTTGATATGATAATAGTATTGAAGTTGAATATTTTGCATAGCCCAAATCAACTTCTGCAATACTGTGCACCATAAAATAGTAACTTATATAAACACTAGCTTCCTTAAATATATATATAAAAATAATTCATAATGATGCATGATATTTCAAAATTTGTGACAATTATCCAACATTATTAATATACTTATGGAATAATGCTGGCTGGACTAACATCATCATCAGCATTGTAGGAATCAATTTCCATGGCTGGAGGCTCAGGGGTTGAGCCAAGCTTCAATTTCAGTTTTAAAGGACCTTTCTCCATGACCGCCTGAAAAGTTCAAAAAGAGGATATACAACTTTTATCAAGGAACTTTACATGGGATCCTATTGACTACTAATTTAAATATTACCAACAAAATGACCCATTTAATATTATGAAAATTTCAAGGAGTCTGTAGGTATACAACTTTTATCAAGGAACTTTACATGGGATCCTATTGACTACTATTCTACTAATTTAAATATTACCAACAAAATGACCCATTCAATATTATAGTAAAAGAAGTCAACTAAACCAAAAGAAAGAAGCAATACATGAATGCATGGCTTCAATAGTTCAGTATTATATGTATCTTGAATTTAGAAGATAATATAATACAAAATTACATTCAAAAATGTTCATTGAATAACATATCTAACTGAGTAGATAATGTAATTAAGTAATAGTACCTATATTAGTTGAATTAATACTACATATAACATGTATAAAAATTCATTACTGATGATCAAGCAAAAAATCATTAGCTGGGTATAAATTTTACTATGATAAATACTTACATAATATATGATAAAAGACCATTATTCCATGGAATGCAGAAAAGAAAGGACAATTTTATAATTAAGAATTATGTTTGAGAATTTCAAATTAATTTTTAGTCATATTTAATAATTTCTACATGTGAAGCCCTAGTAGTAGTGCAAGGGCATTATGGGTAGAATAAAATTCTATCTAATTGAATTCCCTATGAAAACAAGTGAGCCTGGTACCATGGATACCATCTTATATCTTTTTATAACTATTACTCTACTGATAAACAATTTGCAATGTATATATTTTGAGCAAACTTTAATTCCTTTTTAACAATGTATTTACACATTCCTTTTCATCATCATATGCATTTTTTCCACCAGCATGCAGTTCTGCAAAACCTCCTCAGCTAAACCTTTATACAAGTCTGAAAATCATCAATAAATGAGACAGGAACTATCATGAACTGAACAAAATTATTATACTAGCATAATTCTATCAATCCCTATTTTGAAGTTTCCAATACAAAACACTAGTTTGATGGACAAGTTGAATCACACGTTGATAGCCACCACCACCCTCACAAAAACAATTTTTCTGGTAGCTTATTAGCTCAAGTTATTGATGAGAGAAATTCATCCCAGTGCAATTGCTGGGCATATTTCTACCCAAGACCAAGCCAACCTCCAGAAATTGAGAGGTTATTCTTAGGCCAACCACAATAATATGAAAAACTACTTCTCAAAAAGATATTATTATATCTGCTGCACTTCTCACATCACACTCATAATAAATAGTTCTTTTTTTATAGCAATAACTGCATTTTATGAGCCTTTAAAACATGTATATATATCTTCTGCACCCTCCAAACAAAATTTATATGGTTGGTATAATAATTTTATATGAACCCTATAATGCTGCTTCATTTGCTCCTAAAATTACTCTAACTACCTGACAAATATTCAAATATTTAGAATCCTCTTAGGATCGATCATCCACATGGTTTACTAAATGTTTCCATTTATTAGTCTTTTGAAGCACATTTAGGGTATGTCCCCCATATGGGATATTTTTTTGATACCTACTGTAAATGTCACCCTCCCAAGATCAGGGCCTCTGGTTCTGGATGAAGATATTAGGTAGAAGCCAACTGCAAATAGACTGCAACACCACACAGCTATGTCTTCACATAATATTATAAAAGTAAATCAATACATAAAATTTTCACTGACAATTTGTGGAAACCACCCAAAAAAGTCCTAAACATACAAAATAAACGTATATAAATTATAAATGTGCACAATATATTATTCTGGCAGCAGCACTGTAGAAGATTAATAAATACTAACCTTCAGTTATGAGATGCTTCACCATAAATTATAGCTAGTATCAGCCTTCTACTGGGATGCCAAGAACAATCTTTAAGCCAACTTCTTTTACTGATCATCTACAAAGACCTGGAAATGAAACTGGATGATTAGGGAATTGACATAAAAATAGTGCAAGAGGATAAACAGAAAAGAATTTCAATTTAATGACTACCGTACATTAAAATAAATCACTTTACTGTTAGGTATACATATTTTTCTCCTATTACGGAAGCTGTAATACAGACATATTTGTTAAAACAATATGTCTTGTCCAAGGTGTGTAAAATATGTACCGTCAAACGGGGTAAAAAAGGATGCGCATCCCACATTACGTAGGAATGTTGCAGCAGCTAAACTGATCAAAGTATTGCAAAACTAAAAATAGTGGTGTAAACTTCAACATTTTTACTAGCATATATTATGTATAAAGCTAGTCAAGAAATCAAACGTTTACTATCTCTACAAACTCACTGAAAAAAAGTGTGAAAAGTGCGATTTTGGAAAAGTACTTCTACTAAGGTCTGGAGCAAAAAAATATTTGCCGTATTAAAAAATTTTACTTACATAAAAGTTGCACACAGGAGTTGGCTTGAAAGCATAATTGATGGAATTTGCCTATCTCATTCCAAAAAAAAAAATGGCAGCCATTTCTGCGCAATGGGGTAAAAAGGGACACCCCTTGGGGTAATTATGGACAATCCCCGGAGTAATTAGGAACAACCCCTAAAACACATTTACAGCAGATCCTCTGTTAGAAAAGGCCACAGTTAAGATAAATATGAGTTAATCACAAAGATTTTTGCTTAAATTTTAAATTCAAGCAAAAATCTCAATTTAAATAAAATCTTATTGGGGAGCAAACTGCCTGGAATGTTAGGCAGAACTCCTAACATCCAGGTCACTCAATGCAGTGGTCACTCCCTAAAGAAGCTTGTTGAGCTCCTTGTTGTTATGTTACATCTAGAAGGAAAAGGAGGACTTTGGAGTACTGCTGGTAATAGGCGAGTACATTCTGCACGCTTCAAACATTTAAAATTGAGTTTTATTTCAAGTGTCCCTTTTTATCCCGTTACCAGATAAATTCAGGAGCCTTTTATATTGCATCTAGCACCTTACAAATAGCACATGGAATTTATTTGATGATGCCATTTGATGGCCCTCGGAAAGAGCTATAAAATGAGCCTAAACTTGTTTGGGAAACGTTTCATGGTGAGAAGTTATTAACAAAAAATGCTCAAAACCGTCCCTTTTTACCCCGCTTGATGGTACGTATGTATAATTTTCATGACAAGTGTTTTGCTGGCTCTGCAAGTTTCTCAATTTTCCATGAATTAGTGAAAAAATCATAAACAATGAAATTTAGTCATAAAGTTATTAATTCATCTTGTAAGATATGGAAGACAAACTTCAAACTGTACCTAATGGATTTATTTTTATATTTTGAATATAATATGAATCCTAATGGATTCATATTTTTAAATGATAGATAGGTATGAAACAAAACCCAGGAAAAAATTAAGAACTCTTAACTTTACCCATGGAAAATCAAAAAAAAAAAAAATATTTCACTTCACTCTAGAGGCAATTTAGCTTTAAACAATGCATCAATGTCTAATTCCAAGCTGGGTCGGAATTAGTTTTTATGTGTCTAAAACCATCTCTTAACTTATTCATCTATTAATTTATTTAACACTTGAAATCAGCAAATACAAGTATACCTACTTAAAAACTTCCTAATATATTTACAAACTTATTTAAAAGTCTCAAACCATAATATTTTTTCTACACAAACAGTTTAGGTCCCCTATCACTATTTGGTAGAGCAAGGTCAACTATCAACTTTGACATGTTTTTCGATGTTCTCACTGGGTGATGCACACTGTTTCTCTTTGGATCTCAACATTTTCCCGCCAGATGGCACGGCCAAGATGGGCCAGACCTACCGTTTTGGTAATAGTATGGTGCACAATAGTATGACATCACTATTTCAACCATCAACAAATGCGTGGAACTAAGACAAAGCTTAATATAAAGGAAAAAAGTTGAGAAGTGTCGGAATTACCCACGATGTCAGAATATACTGCATTTACCCTATATCATAATCTATATACACATGGACCTCCTCAGAGAGATGGCGACACAAGTATGTACATTGTACAAGTTACTGAAGGTCCAGCCAGGTGGGGCAACCTAGGCTGGAGGCCTCTTTCTTCTCTCCGCATATTAAAAGCCCTTGCTGGCACCAACTGGGGCTTCTCCAAGGAGGACATAGTTGCCACCTACCGTGCCATCACGCACCCAATTCTCAACTACACGGCCCCCATCTGGTACCCTGTTGCCTCTCGTTCAGCAGTTGCCAGCCTGCAGATCATACAGAATACTGCATTGAGACTAGCCACCGGCTGCCTCAAAATGGCCCGGATCTCCCATCTGCACCAGGAGACCGGCGTCCTCCCTTTGCCCGAGCACCTGGACCTGGCCTGCACCCAGTTCCTCGCCAACGCCCTCCCATGCTTCGTTTCGCATGGTTTCTGCCCCTCTGGGTGACCACCCTATGAAAGCCTTGATACAGTCGAGGTTCGGCCATCTTGTCACACCACTCTTGACAAATGGTATTCGGCCTGCCGGGACATACGGAGAAGCAAGCGGTCTCTCCGCAGGGAGATTACCTCCCGCGTGGCAGTGACTGCAGCCATAAACGCTGTCCTTGCTGCCCCGCCACCGCCGATTGCTTCAGTGGAGACCTCACTCCCTTGCCCCTACCGCTCAGCGTTATCCCAGCTCCGCTCGGGATACTGCAGCTCCCTGGCGTCCTATTCTGCCAGGATTGGATTTGGACGCTCCCCAAGCTCCACCTGCCCGGAGTGCGGGGATCCCCTCCAATCCATTCAGCACCTCTTTGTCTGCCCTGCCTTCCCATAGTGGCAAAGCAGAGAGTTTTTTAGAATCTTGTCTCAAGTTCATTTTTGAGCCCTATAAGTAGACCAGTAAGAGTAAAGTATCATGGATACCGGTACCATCATACCAGCATTATCATACTTGAGAAATTGGTTAAAATCTTGAGTAAATGAGGAAATTAAAAATGAACTGATTCTAAAAAATCTCTGGTTTGTCACTATGCTGACCTTCCCCACGTCTCTCAGCGTCTCCTCACTGTGGGACAGCCCCGTGGAAAATCACGGCTCGTAGAAATGGAATCACGGCTGGCAAATCCATAAAACCACGGCTCGAAAAATTCAGTCGCGGCTCGCCAAGTAGATATATTCCATACTAGTACGATGTCGGAATATACCGCGTTTACCCTAGGCCTATCAAAATCAATTTAATGGCAAGCAGTAACAGTCTTTACAAATTACAAGGCAGTCTTGGTGCCTGAAATTATGAACTCATATTGATCCTAATTTCCTAAAATATAGATTGATACTGCTCACTGCTGGACGCTGGTCTCAATTTCTCAAAGTGAGCATTTATATTTTATAATAATGCTGATTCATAGGTGAACGTGAATACGCTGGTTGTGTTAGTAATAATCACTTAGTATCCCACAGATTCTAGGAGTGGTTAGTTCCAGTGGGTACGCAGCCGTGCACCACTAAATTTGTGCACCAATCAGCCTTGAAACTGAAAGGAACGCCTAGCATATTTCCGGATGGATGACCACCAATCAGCCGCGGATTAAGCCATCCGTCGGTAACCAGCCCGTGACATCATGTCATCATCTTGCTTTAAATATTAGGAGCTTTACGCCACCACATTCTGAAGCGAATATCCCAGAGAGTGATGGTTATACACCACTGAACGCTGCATCGGTGATCGGTCCCTTAGGTGAATCCCGAGCCCGGACAGCTTGGGCCTTTTCCATCAATTCTGCTGTCCACCAACTTGCCGTTTCGCTGGCCGGTGTCATCATCCGCAAAATAGGGCTTAGGAAGACCTTGTTCATGTCAGGTATAGCATCTGCTCTTGGGTACCTTGGATCAGCCTTCGGCCAGTCCCGATACTTCCTGCACATTAGCGTGGGTATCGTGAATGGTAAGTAAAGATTTGTCGTCCATTATAATTATTAGCATAACATAACATAGTGATCTCGGCGCGGAAGAGTAGGCCTGATGTGGCCTGTCGCCGATTTTTTCCTTTTCGTGCCTCTTTCACAGATCTAAAATCGTGTCATTTGACCGGAGTTATTCATGACTGACGATAGTTTGAGATAGCTACTCGACTTCCACCGGGTTCGATATTGTACTAGGCATTTCAAAGCTGGACATATATTTTTCCGTAGCTTTATCTAGTCTGTTCTTGAACGCGTTCATACTTGGAGTCCAACGATGTCATCGGGGAGGCTGTTCCACATGTCGGTGATTCGAAGCGAGAAGAAATGGAGAAGTTGCAGCGCAATTTTTTTTAGTTTATAGCCGTGGCCCCTGGTGTTGGTTCTTGTTTCACGTTTAACGTTTAAATAATTCCAGTGGAGCGGTACGAAATCAAGGAATTTTTATATTTCACATGAACCTAAAAATTTTAAGTTCTAGACCTTATAGATAATTACGGATACATGAAAAAAATGCAATTGTCAACGGTGAAGTGCATAGCATAACTCGGCTGTGGCAGAAGCGGAGGGCTCATGTATATACATTTAAGTGCTTTCTTCACTAACGCAGTGAGGGCCCGTTTGATCAGCTTGTGTTAATACATCTCAAGGAATTAGTTTTATGTTGTTATGGATATTGATGTCGATCCGAAAAATACAAATTTGATTGCAAATACGCTGACAAATTTAAAATTTGTATAAGTTGTCACGTGTACTCATGTCAAGTGTACTAATGTTCTCGTGGACAAAAATGCCGCATGGGTAATGCATTCTTTTTGCACTGGATGATTTATTTCGCTTTAATTATTTTATACCTTCATTTAAAAGTCAGATGTCAATCACTGTCTTTGCACTATACTCAGTCAAAATGGCGTCGTACAAGCCTACATTAACCTCTGTGATACGAAGACTTCCCCTCATGCGACATCAGTGGGATTCACGACAGTTTTTTACACATTATTTATATGGCAGTTTCCTCTGCATGCAATAGGGATTGGCACTCCT